GCCATATGCAACATAGCTCCTCCGCTCCTTTCGAAGCCTTGCGGATCAGCTGCAATTCGGCAAAGTCCTGCCACCACCAGGCTCAGGATGCAAGACCAGGCTCTGTTGCGGACGGTTCCAACACATCTTGAAACATCGCCTTCCACCGCAACCTGACCATCAAACCCACAAGCTGCAGATGCGTTCTACAGCCAACTTTAACTGAATCTTTCGGTGAATACCTGGAATACCTCCCCCGAGTGCTCTGGAGCTCCTCCCGTGCTTTGCGGCCCTGGGGAGGACCTGTCAAAACGCAGGTTTGGGGACATTGGGGCCTGCTGCACAAAGCGTGGCATGTGCACCCCAAATAAGCTCATGCCCTGATTCACAAACCCGGAAGACCCCATGAGATATCTTGAGCGTTCTTGGCTTAGGCTTCAGATTGTTCATCTGCACCGCATCAACAAGCAAATGCTTGTTAGAGAACCAATTCTGATACAACGCCAAAGCTATCAAACCGTAGCGAAGCCAAGGATCCGACTCCGTGCTTACAGGATGACTTTCCGTGCAAGGAATCATGACACAAACATCAAGCACATGGCTGTTTGCATGCAGCTCTCTTATTGACGTTTTCAGGATGTATTCAGGGTGTGCGCAGTGCAGGTAGCCTGCCAAGCTGCCACGGCGCTGAACGGAAATTGCTGTCAAACGCAAGGCCTCGCAAACAGGCAACATTTCAAACGTACTCTTATACCTACTTCAGGTACTTTTGACTTATCTTGATTCCTTCTTGATTCCTCCCCGTAAGCCAGCAGGTTCACAAGCCACTAGGCCTATGTTCCCGAAGCCTGAAGCGATGAATCTTTCTTATCGGCCCCCACGCCGTGTCGCTGTAGCGCGGGAGTCGCACCGGCTTACCCGGCAGAATCTGCCTGACACCCGTATCAAGAAGCACTTCGTGCTAAGAGAAAGGATGCAACAAAAACACCCGACACGTTTTGTTGTTCAACGGTCTAAAGTTCGGTGTGTTTTGTAACTAACCTGCCTAGCCAACGAAGTTAAGCCGCTTAAGCCTAGTGGCAGTTTGTCAGCACTCTAGCAGGTCCTTCTCACTGCGTTGGATCACTTTGGGCCCCTTCCTGTCACCGAAAACAGAGTCACACTCTCGGGCGCAGGGTCATTTGACTCCTTACTCACCGCTTCAGGCACTGCTCTTTCTGTTCTTCCGCCTTCTCGAGAGCTGGAGGACTCACTTTCAGGCAAACGGTTCCCCACTCTCGAAGAAATCCGAAATGTCAAATTCCTGCTGTGGTTCAGAGACAAGAAAGGCAACAAGCTGAGGGAGAATGGAACAAGCCAGAACATTGAGGGTCAACAAGGGGCAGCCACTCTCCAGAACAGTCGCCTCGTCCAAGCCTCAGGACAAGCGATTCAAGGCTCAACGGCGGGTATTCGGTTGCTTTTTGATTTGCAGGGTTTTGGTTTGCCAACATTAACCGAAGGCTGCCCGTCGTTCTGTTGTAGGGGTCCTCGAGTCAGGGCTTATGGTTAAATTGGCGCACCGCGTCGCCTTCCTACGCCCTGACACTGCCCATCGCCCTGCAAGCTGAATAAAAATGTTCCGCAGTTTTCACGCTGGAACCTACATACCGACCAGTGCATCAACACCAACTGATCCACGACAAAGACACACTGACTGACTGAGGCTCTGGCAATCCGCGGCACCTTGGGCAGCCTGCGCCGTATTCGCGGTATTCTGCGCCGTGTGGCACCTGCAGGCCACCCATAGAAGTGTACAAGAAGCCCATAAACCCTGTTCGGGGCATATGCTTGCAACAACTCAACGCCCTGCAGAAACATCCTCGTTCTCGGCAAAAAGGATGATGGGCCATTCACACCGTCTTTGCCTGCTTTTGAAATTCTGGGACTACCATGGTGACATGGTGCCCCGCCCTCGCACGATGCCGCCATGGTCGCATGGGGCCGAGGGCAAGGGAGTGCCGAAAAACAACACCGTACTGCGGCTTGAATAATTGAAAACAAGAGCTCTACATTGACCGAAGTGCTGAAACTGCATGAATGCCTAGAGACTTTGGACTTTGTGATGTTCACAGCCCTAGCATAGTCATAAAAGCTCTATACTGACACCCGCCCCAACCCTCCCAACCCCGAGCGACATTGTAGCGTTGACCAAGTCTAAACTTGCAGCTGCAAGCAACCAATCCATCGACTTCTGGTTGACTCCAACCAATTGTGTGGGTGCATGCTCTCGTGATTCTGTAGATGACAGTTCAAGCACGAAAGTGGAAAATCTACCGCACGCTTTTCTCCACATGAGCCGCGTTGTCGCGCTTAGTGTGTCTGTGCGGATGTGTGTCATTGTGTGCCCACCGAAACCCGGAACACCACGACCCTTGTCACACCTTGTCATCTCTAGATTCCGTACACTCCCTAGACTCAAGAGTTGTCCGAGACTGCGCCGGGCTCGTCCTCATGCTGGCAAGAACTTGACGCCTGGTGGCCATGAGGCGTGTTGACTCATGTTGACTAAGGCTGTTTTTAGGCTAAGGCTACAAGATGCTACAAGACAGCTATCAGATGACCATACCTCCCGAGGTTGAAGGCTCAGCTGACTTTCGCAGATTTCACTGAGATTTCAGAGTCTCCAATTCTTTTGTTTGGGTAGGGCTCCGTGTCCCTGCAGACTGTGTGAAGGAGAGACCCACCTTCCGACCCTGAGCCGCCCCGGAAGATGGTGGCCCTGCCACGTCGGCTCAGCTCCTTCAGGTATGCATGGTGCTACAATGCTGCGTTTGCCCGGCCCGGGGCTTTCCGAAACCCCGAAACTTTGCATCTCCCAAATTCTGCCAGCTCGGACAGATGATCCTGGGTAGGCCTGCTAAGAGTGGAGGCAGAGGCCCGGGCAAAAACCTTGAGGGAGCCTTGATGTTTCAATGTGCTTGAGGTTGCAGACCCCTTTTGAGGCTTCAACTTTGGAGGTTGGTGTCTTCGGGCGATGCATGAACAATGCTTTTGACATCACGCGAGAGGCCGTGAGAGGCCGTGAGAGGCTTGAGGCATGGCTTGAGGCATGAGGCGTTCAAGGAGCCTGACAAGGTGTTGAGGCTGCTGGGCTGAGGCTCTGGGCTTGGGCTTCGGTTTTGAGATTTACGCGAGAGCTTTGCACCAGGTTTACACCGCGCACGCCCGGTTTGTACCCCTTTTCGGCTGCGGCGTTCTCTTTCTTGGAGCGTGTGGGCCCAGCACAAAACAACACAAAACACCAAAATACCACCTGCTCAGCAACCATTGCAAGCTCAAGCAAACTGCACAGCATTTCACCTTGGAAGCTGCGTAAACTTCAGATCGTCCTGCAGTGCCACCATGATGAGTTCCCGCGGGGCACCGTAGAAGTCCTGTCCCTGAAGAGTCTTAAAGTTCCGAGGCTTGTGGAGAAGAAAGGCTCAGGCATGGAGGGGGAACTTTTGAACATCGACACCTGCCTCAGATGACATGAGTCCTATATGAGTCCTGACAACTCCCATTGCTCTCTTTGCTTTCACCTCCCTTCAGGGAAGCCTCAGCAGCCTCTCCATCAATGAGGGACTGCACAGTCTCCACGCTTCCTCAGCAACGGGGTTGCGTGGGGCGGAGCTCGTGACATGGCGGCGACGAAGGCTCTGGGTGCATTCTGTGTTTGAAGCCACTTTTCTCGAAAAACCAGTTTCTGCGAAAAGTCACTTTTCTCGCGGCGGTGTGCGAGCACGTCAAGCAGCACTTCCTAAACCATATGGGCCTGTGTATTACATACATACACATGTATTCACATGAAAACTCTACATAGATACACACACACACATATCTATTGGTAAGAGAATGCTTAAGGTGTTATTGTGTCTGCTGGGTCTGCCGGAAAGAAAACCGAAGGAGGGTTTAGACAGTTTGGGGCATAAACTACCTGAGCCATCTAAACCAACGGCTTCTTTCTGGAAGGCGACTAGGATTGCGAGGGGGTTGGTCGGTACTCTTTGACATTGTGAATCTGAACCCCACAATCTCTCTCTCCCAGCCCGGCACTATGACTATCAAAAAGCCTGAGCAAGCTATAAGCGCAATGCTGGTGGAGGTGTCTTGCTATCCAGGTCTGCTGCTTTGGCGGGCGTCGCCGAGCACCGGGGCGTTGCGGGGGCAACAATTCTGAAAAGACGCTTTTCTCGAAGAGCAACTTCTTATTCGAAAGAGCAACTTCTCTCGAAAAGCCACCTTTCGCGAAAAGCAAGTTTTCTCGGAGATCTTTGTGTGCGCAGCTTTTCCGACAAGATGCTTTTCTCGAAAAGGTATTTTTTGATGTCCAGTCAGTTTCTTCACAGAGTTGCAAGAAAAGATGCTTATTTCTCGACAAGCCAGCCACGTTTCTCCAAAAGACAGTTCTGCGCAAAGTCGCTTTTCTCGCAAAGTTGCTCTCGCGGGGTTGCCACCCCAAGTTATGTCATCAATCGCTAAACAATTCTGTGGGACCCGGCGGCGCTCCCCACCTAGCGGACAAGTCGATGTTCTTCCTCCCCCCCCCACCCCGCTCTCTTCCTCTTCCTCCTCCTCCTCCTCCTCCTCCTCCTCCTCCTCCTCCTCGTCCCCCTCCCCCTCCCCGTCTTCGTCTTCGTCTTCGTCTTCGTCGTCGTCGTCTTCGTCTTCGTCTTCGTCTTCGTCTTCTTCTTCTTCTTCTTCTTCTTCTTCTTCTTCTTCTTCTTCTTCTTCTTCTTCTTCTTCTTCTTCTTCTTCTTCTTCTTCTGCAGGGCATGAAGGCCGCAAGCACCCTCCGTGCACTAGGCGCACCCGGAACGTTCAGGGCCTCCGTGAAACTCATCGTCGGAATCAGGAGACAAGCTTTACGGTATTGCAAGTTTCCCCTTCCCGCCCCCACACACACACACAAACCACATGTAAGCTAAACACAACTATCCCTGCTCTTGATGATCGACTCCGACCCGAAGGGTTGATGGGACGGAGGCGGCCGATCACGCCCCGGAAGCCTCGAAACACTCACCAAATCCTCCTCTTCTTCTTCTCTCTCTCTTTCTCTCTCCTCTCTCTCTGTGCCCCACCCACCCCGTTTCCCTCTCAGCCCTCCCTTCCACTCGTTTTCCCTTTCTCGCACATCCGAGGTGTGAAGCCCTCCCTCCGAGCGTAGAAGTTACCTGACAAAAACGTGGCTAAACCACCCTGAGGGCTAGGGCCTAAGGCGAGCCCAAGCCGAGCCCATGCGCTGAGCAGAGTGCTCTTTTGAAGCTCCGTTCTGAAACTCTTATTTGGGCTGCCGAGGGGCCGATGAGGCCAGAGTCCGAGGCCCAGCTCAGGATCTGATCTGCCCAGGCGGAAGGCGAGCGCCAGAAGATCAGCAACCGGTCCTGATGGTTCGCAAGCATCACCCGGGAAGACCAGGAAAGAAAAACAGATATCAAACTGCCTCTCACAGTGTACACTGTTCTCAGCAGCCCAGAGTAGCCCAAGCTCACTCTGCCGCTTCTCTCCATCTGCATCCACCCAGGCAGCCGAGCCGTGCTCCTTGAGCTTGCGGCTTTAAGGAGCTTTGGGCTGAAGATCTGTTAGGATAGTGTCGGAGAGTGTTTGCATGTTGCACTTCGAGGGACTTCGCGATTCGTTTCCGATCGCGTGCTTGGTTTGGGCCAAGGCGATATCGCTGCTACGAAACCGCTGGCCAAGTTCACTTGAGGGCCTATCGTGCGGCGAGTTTGTGGGTGAAGGGACGAAAGAAGCAGCAAGTCAGTGTTGAGTGGATTGCCACGACGCATGGTGGTTCTGTGGTCTGGGGTGGGCTTCGCTGTGAGTGGAGATGCCCGCAGCTTGAGCTCCTGCTGGCTAGAGACATCACTGTCTCCACGCCTGTTTGTACAGGCAACACGCAGCAGGCACAAGCGCACCTGCATGCGCTTAAGCAGTGGGTTGGCCGATGCAACTCAAGGCCTCGGAACGCCGAGGAGGAGATGCATGGACGGTGCTTTTCTATTTTACTGGATACTGAAAACATTGCTTCATTCGCTGCCACAAGATTCCTAGAGCCGACAGCGCTCACCACAAAGACGATTGCATGTGCCTACTCAGTGGATTCGTGTTTACAAGGATGACATCACTTCCGGCCGTGCTGCTGAACAACGCTTGCTTAGCTATGAGGCCATCCTTTTGATATCGCATGCTTTGTCATGGTGATGTTCGCCGTGCAGATGTGCAGTTTGTGAGGTATCTCTTTCGCGGGGCTTAGGGGAGTGACCCCCCTGCGCAGCACGTAGGGCGACCAGAGGTGCAGCCCGGATGGAAGGAGTGACCCCCCAAACTCTCTTCCTTCCCCTCTTCCTCCCTCCCTCACCCGAAAACAGCAACCTCCTTCCAGTCGCCGATTCATGCAACAGCTGCTCCGTCTCGGGGTCCTTCTGACCGAGCAGCCGCCGTTCGTGGTCAAGCCGTCCGTTCGTGGGCTTGCTTCATGACGGGGTCCACTTCTTTGAATTTCCTGACCCTGCCGCCAGCTCTGGCATGATTCGCCGCCAGCGCAAGCATCAGGGAGCCCGGAACTGATGTGAGGTCTTGTTTTCTCTGATGCCGCTCCCGATTCACCTTGTAAAGGCTCCCTCCCATTGATGATGTTAAGGGCCTTCCACACCAAACTGAGCCGCCTGGAGGCCGGAGGCAGAAGCCCCTGTCCATCTTGGCCAGACTGACTCAGCGATTCTTGCATTTGCTGCGTCCGACTGTTCTTGACTTGATGCTTGTCCAGTGCCCGATCCCCTGCCGGCCAGCACTTCTTCTTAAGTTGCGAGTCTGCTGTCGCGTCTTCGCACCCTGGGCCGTTGCCGGGCTTTGCGGGTGATAACGGCATGAGCGATGGAAGCCCAACATTGTCACTTCTTGTTTATGCTCATTCTTACTGAGCAGCATCTTCCAGTCGAAAATGTTCATCTGCTTGTTAGCTCAACAGAGCAGTAACAGAAGTTTCGCTCTGTTTCATTCTATGCAACTAGCCTTGAATTGAAGTCTACAGTAAGCTATGTACCTGTGAATAAATACGGCAGGGTTTCATGAAAGCTTCTTCTTGGAGGAGGGATGATGAAACCAAGTTGCATGATCTCAGAGTCTATTTCGCGGCCTATGCAGCAACGGACGACTGGAGATGCAGAGAAAAACCGATCTGAGACCGCTGTTGGCCTTGAAGCCGCCACCAACAGGTTTGAGCCGGAGGGAATTCTAAAGTAGCGACCAACCGCCCAGAACACGTGCCACATTGCCACATCAACGCCGAAGTGGTCTGTCAGGAGAACAGCTGTCCCGTGTGGAATTATCTTTCAAGGGCGCCGGCGGTTCAACGTTCGATTTGTGCAACGGACAGCACGTGAGATTTGATCCAACTTCAGCGTGTGCGCATAGAGTCATAGAGCTAGGTCAGCAGGAGGATTGCAACCAAGTCTCCACAAGGTGCTTAGCCAACACCTTCCGTGCCTCGCCTGGCACACAGCACTATGTTGCATTCTTTCCCCTACAACGAACCTCCGCAGCGCCATGGGAAAACACCGAAGCCAAAAAAGTAAACGAGCGGAAAGGAACCGATCCAAAGCCGAATCTTGAAGCCCCGACATTGCAAGTCACGTCCCAAACTTTACCTTTTGTGTCCGTGGCTTTGCAGTGGTTTTCAGCTCGGCCTGCAAGCTGGCGCTGGATCTCTGCGTTCCTGTGCAGAGCTTTCTTGCCAAGAAAAGGGCAGAGGGTCAGGATGAAGGCACACTATGGCACACTTGCAGCTACTTGTTGAAGAAATCAGGTTCTTTCACCTAGGAAATAAGCACATTCAAGAGCCACGAAACAGGAGTGACAGACTAATTAAAAAATGTTTTGCAGATGTTTGGTCAAGGCACTTGAAGATCGCAGAGGATTCGGATAAATCCAGAATGAAAACCCGATAAAATCTGCAGTAGTCACGCACGAGCTGTGTCCACAGCTCCATTTGCTTCGCCCTCACAGTGCCGTTCGGCTGCAGCGTAAAAAAAGGAGGCAAGTTGTAGAAGGGCGGATATTGGAAGCTCTTGGCACCCTCTGCCATGGCTGGATTTACGGTTGACTATGCTCTCTTGCTGCTCCATCTTCCTCTTCTCCTCTCGATAAACAAGAATTGCCATTTAAGAAGGTGACAGCATGCTGGGCAACGCCGAGGATATCCGGAAAACTGACTCTCACTTGCCAAAAACAAACTCTCAGCACAACGGCTGCAGAGGCAATATCATCGGCTCATGCTATGCGCCTGCAAAATACGTTCCAACACAAGGCTCGCCACCCCATGCCCAATTCCGAAGTTGACAACTTGAAGCTCAAATACATGAGCGGAAGTTACAGGTGGAGGCATTCCAGGAACAGGACATGAAGTTCGGAGTTTCGCCCGCGACTCGCCCGATTGATGCTTGCGCACCAGGTACAGAAACGGTTTGGAACGTGAGGTTGGGGCTTTTTACTGGGGCAGACTCTACTTTCCCATCCATCTGTTCCGGACATTCAAGAACCATCGAAACTTTCAATCCCACGAACTTCCTGATAAGCATGGACAGGGGCACTTTAGGCGAAGCCGAAAGCCCGAAGCCCCAAAAGACCCTTAAAAAACGCGATGAATCAGAAACTTGAAGCCCTTCATTGGCACACCTCTGCATACTCCGCTGCAAAATGCTTTCATGCTGTTTTTGGCTGCGGCAGTCTGATCTGTACAAGTCTCAAGCCGAGGCCGGACCTGACCCCTAAGAGTAAAACATGGAGATCAGAACGTTCGATTTCAGATATTTCAGGTGGCATTTCTGGCATTTGGGGGCTTTTGAGGGCCTTACGGCTCTTAGTGGGGGGTTTAGAGCGCAGGGTCTCTCTGGAAAAGCGCCAACCAAGCACAAATCTTATATAGCGATTGTCCCTCTTCAACACTCGACGCTCATCAGGGCCAACTCTGAGATATCCCACAGCTCACCCGGACGAGGTCACATCAGTCAGCACCAACTCCTTGATGGCGGGCTCCAGCGACTCCCACTCCTCACTGCGAACTGTTGGAGCCGGGGTCCTGAACCCCTGAACCCTGTCGAGCTGAGCTTTCCTTGAAAACAGACCGAAACCCAGGGAAATACAGCTTGAGGCGCCTCAGCCCCAAGAAAACTGGGGGTTTACCCGGAGCCCCTCAAATGAGCTCCTTCACGCCCACAAGCTCTGCGTACTGGCTCCTGCAGAGGAGGTATCTCGATTTGTCCGAGACGAGGGTTTTCATGAAAGGCTTCCTTTGTTTTCTTCCGGAAAAACTTAAAAGTGGCCTGAGAGGGAAGAACTCGTTCCAGACTTCTCGGTGCAGGGCTAAGTGCAGGGTTCCAGCGAAGTTCAACCAGCTGACAGCTCCGGCATGGGTATGCCAATTGTCACTCAGGTGGTTTACTACTTTGAACCCAGACGACATGCCTCCTGCAAGGATCACTCGGATTCCGATGAGGGTTGGGAACACGTGTAAACTGCCCGCGAAGACACACTTTGTCTTTCGATTGCAATCTTCTTATCAGGCATGCAGCTGCTCGGATTGCAATGGGCACACCTGTACATTCGACAGAAGTGTTGAGAGTTCGGGCAGTCCTGAGGTGGTAGATGCAAACGTTGAGCAGCTGGTTCGCGTTGCAGAAGTATGCGTGCGTAGAGAGGGCCATCAAGTTCTCCCCTGTCAGCAGCTTGCCAAGCTCGTTCTCGGTCCACCTCTGGTCAGAACTCCACGCCGCAAGAATGCTTGCTAAGGCTAGGCCTGGCTAAGCACAATGTGCTTTTTTGTGGTGTGAGGGTATTGTTTTTTCGGGTGGTGCGACGGAGGAGGCGGAGGTAGGTCGCTACATGCCCGCTCTGTTTTTGTAGAAACATCGACTACCTCTACAGTTTAATAACTTCTGTCGCCCTTACATTTTGCCGGGAACATATTCTCGAAGAAAACCTTTATGTTTGAATGGGAAAACATGTCTCTACATGCTGACAGAAGAAACCTCTATTTGTTCCACATGTTGAGAAGAAACCTCTATCTCCTGAACTTTCGGAGCTCACCCCTAGAAACCCCTTTTCAGGAAGTAGAGCTTTCCGAGATTATGGGACAGGGGACTGGATAGCCAACCACGCGACAATCTGCAACGGCACGGGAGAGACAATGCCCTCCCTTCCTGAATTCGTATCTCCGACTCACAACTCGCCGCATCCAAACCTGTATCACACATTGGTTATCTACAACCTCCTTCTCTCTACAGAGTATCCCCACCCAAAACCCTTTCAAGCATACGTCTAGTTTTGTGGAACTGATTTACGGAATGGCATTTAGCATAAGTATACTACTTTGGCAAGCAGAGGCCGACTCCAGACCTCGCATCCTAGACCCCCCCCCTCCGCTTCCACACCATTTCTCAACCTACTAAATCAACCCTCCAAAACTTCCACACACTTCTCAAATGGTCACCCGAGTCTCTTTTTCAGGTGGTTCACATCGTAGAACTCGCAGAGACGCAAGAGGCAGCAAAGGTCCTCCAAGAAAGGTCTTGTGATCGGAGCATTTGTACTGAGTCCGCAGGGCCTGTGGGACTGCCAAGTTCGCTGTACACTGCCCTCCCACCCTGAAAGTGTCCTCGCCGGTGTCAACATCCCAGCAGCGTGCTCGCTGCCTGGCCAAGCAGCAGTTTAAGGTCAGACTCAGGCGTTTGGACGTCTGACTGATCTGTGAAAGCAACCAGCTGGTGCAGGGCAACGCCCCCCCGAACGAGTTTCGCAACAAAGTGTGGAAAGATCTGTCGAAGTTCAACCACCCTGCACTGCCCTGCAGATGAGCTTGTGGTCACACGCAGGAGAAGGTGCGAATTTCTGGCAGAAGCACTGCCTGGAACACGAGATGGCGCAGAAACGCAACTTCACACAAAGCCACCCCGAACAAAGACACAACCTTCGGGGCACCTGAGCAAAGCCTTCGGCACTTCCGAGACCTTGGACTTCTTTGTGACACTTTTGGTGCTAGTTTGGGCTTAGAGTTTGAGACACAACCATTGGGCGGCAAGGGCGAGATCATGCGAGAACATGCGAGCTGGCAGGGCCTACGGCGCCCTTTACGACTGGAATATGCTGCCCCATGACCTCCCGAAGCTGTGGTTGTTGTCAGTTGCTCTAGCAAGCTGCACACAGGCTGCGCGTTGTAGCGGGCAGGTGCTGTGCACGAACATACTGGCATACTGGATCGAACTGTGACCCCGCGGGTCGCAACCACAAGAACCTCGCAGGTTGATGCAGAGCTGGTTTCCCAAGCGTGCCGCGTGCCGGGAACGAAGCTCAACCCAGCGTCAACCCACAGGATGAGACGGTAATTAAGACCCTGAAGCCCTGAACCTCTGCCCAAGGAACAAACGGAATGCAGCTCGGAGACCTCGGAGACCTCGGAGACCTCAAGCCCCCGGTCGAGCTGGTAAGCCACCTTGAAATGGCTGTTTAAGGTTTGAGGACTTTGGCGTCTTTGCTGCATCCCGAGGGTCGGTGTTCAGGTCTATGATGGCAGCTGTCTATGGAATTATGGCTTGTTTTATCGAAGCTTGCTGGAGTGTTTTCGGGTTGCTTTGTGTCTCTTGAGCATCTGGGCCTCCGTTAGCCTCCGTTAGCATAGCCTTCGTCCCTCCCCACGCCTCCTGGGCCAGCCGGGCGTCGAAGCCCTGAGAGCGGAGGGTGTCTACACGTATCCACTCACGTCCGCTTAAGGGTGGAGCGTGGGTTTGTGACATGCTCTGTATGCAAGTGCCCTGGGGTGTGCGCGTTGCACTCACACGTGCAGAGGACACTAGACCCAGCCGCAGAGTAAGACTGAGGTATAAGGCTCTGAGTCGGGATGATGCAGGAGACACAACTGGTTCTGGCCGGGCAGTGGCCGGGCCGAGCCTGGTAGAGGTAAGCCAACAGCCTCGAATACAGCAACAAGCCAAAATGGAGCTGAAAAGGCTTACATCAACAAGCAATATGTCCCTCTAACTGTCCACTCTGCAGCATGAACTCATTCCCTTGGATTAAAGGAAACCACGCACTTCTGGAAACCTCTACGCTCTCTATATTTAATCGGCAAACCGGTCGATTCTCTTTAGATTTGAAGGGAACCTCTAGTTTGTGCGTTTATCCATTCAATCGAAAAAAACCTTTGTTTCTCTGAATTCTAGTCGAAGACCCTCCATTTCTTTTATGTGCCGATAGGACAGCCTCTGTTTACGGAAAACCAAGTCTATTTACTTTCGATTTCGCGCTTTGGGTTGAAGCACAAGCTATTTTGGAAGCATAATGCAGGCATGCCCCCCCCCCCCCCCCATTTACAATGCAAAAAGAATAATCCTTGGGGGAGCTAGGTTTTTCTGGGGATTTCTTTGGTTTTCAGGCGTCTGGCTAAGGGCTTTAGGTTTAGAACATATATTCTTGTTTATTCTTCATTTCTATATGGGGGGCGAAGAGGGGATGTTTTTTTGGTATTATGGTTTCGGCTTTGGAGTTGAGGGGTATACTTGAGAAACGGGGAAAACCATGAACAACCTCTGGTACACGCACCCCTATCGACTTGCAACATACTTTGACTGCAGCATCCGCATCCCTTTTTAAAAGCCCGCTGCCTATCCCGAGCCCGGAAAAAGTAACACGAAAAACTCTCAGCGTTCTACGATTCGACGAGGGTGCAGGGGCCGTAGCGCGCTTTTTTGGTAATTTCGCAAGCGACCCCTACACATGCAGTAGAGGGTTCAGCTCTCTTCGATGGCAGCAGGCTCTTCATGGGATTTACAAGGTCTCCAAAAAAAGCGGGGCGGGGATGGGGTGGGGTCGCAGCCCCGAGTTGGACAGGACTCAGGTTTTGAGGCAACTCCTTTCCATGGCATTAAGCCTTCGCAAGCTTCTTGCACGGATTCAAGAGAAAAGCTTGGGGGCCCTTAGAAAGAACAATGATCCGATGAGGCGCAGCTCCGAAAAGCCTGAAGTGCCTCCTGCAATACCCACAGATCCCATGTACACCCAACAGCTGAAAATCGCGATCTGTGTTGCCGCTGGAAAGCCAAAGCAGGCCCCTGGACGAGACCCAGCTCTCTAGGTGCAGCCGGCAGCGTGACTCCTGGGCCTCGCAAGACAAACTTGACTGGGTTGATGCCGGTTCAATTCGTGATGCCCCTAAGCCCTACACCCCCCTGAGAGCACGTCGTCAAACGCTTGTGGACTGATGCTGCTGCTCAACTGTGCTCAAGGCAAGGTGTCAAGGGCATAGACAACAAAATGTTGAACTTCCCAATTCAATTGACGATGGTAGCCAATGCCATGACTGACCAGCCCAAGAATGAGTACCCGAGAACCCCCAAACTTTTCACAAGCTGTATACCTCGGCGCAATTCGAAGTGAACATGGCCTCGGAAACCAAGAACGGTGTTCTGAGTCACATTCATGAAAAGAAGGAAAAGAAGTTCTTGATTCTTGACGCCTTTGTTGTGGCAGGACGTTTCTCCTTACAGGTCTACTCTTAACCATCTTGTTCCTCTTCGGACTCGCATCGACCTAGGATTTCAACGGCGGTGCATCTGCAAAGCTTCTCACTTGCCAGGGGCCCTGAGGCCCTAGGGCCCTAGCCCGAAAGTGATCACAGGCGGCGGCCAACACCAAGCGATGCGCCTCAAGCTGAAACCGAGGGCCGGCTTTGTGTGAGCGCAGGAAATTGAGGGGGTCGAGGGGTTCTCGTTGGATTCCGTTGGATGTAGAACTTTGGGTGCTTGGGCTTCACAGGTTTGGAGGTGCCGCTTTTTGGACCTCTGGAGCCTTCAAGGGCTTAAAGTTTAATTCCCTCACTCAGATCTTCGGTTTGATTTCGGGGCTTCGGCCGCGACAGTAGCTCAGTAGCTCAGAAGCTGCATGGGGCGCTGGCGTAGATCTCCTTTGTGCCCGAGTCGACCTTCAGGACGAAGGTGACATCGGCAAGTTCGGGCTTGTTCAATGCGTTCCTCCAGTGGGGAATCGGAATCAGCTTCATGTATAGATAGGGCACTGAGGGGTGGGGCAAGGCCTCAGATTAGTTCCGATTCTTCGAAATCCTCCGTTGGTCACGAATCGCGTGGATGGCGCGTGAGATGCTAAGCGAAACGCGCATCAGTCTGACCATGCATCTTTCAAACGAAGCCACTCTGCAAACTTCAATGCCCCGTCCGTTCATGCATTGTTCACCACACAACGTGTCAACACTGAGGGGCTCCAACGTCAGGAGTTCGAGGGGCTAGGTCGATGTGGCCGCGCGGAGCGTGCGCCCGCACGCAGCCCGGACCATGCGCTTCTTTCGAAGCCTGCTCACATTTTGGACGACAATCGCGCGCTCGCCTTCGCACGGCCGTCCTTGAAACTGTCGTCGCTTTTGGACGGCTGGCCCACGAAATGCGAAACGATGGGCGCTTTTGCACGTCTCACTGTTGAGGGTCTATGCTACAAGAATAGTTTTGTTTGTTTTCTTCTTTCCATGCTACAGACAATGTTACAGACATGGAAGGCCGCGATTTCTATAAGGGTGGCCTGGCCTTAGTGAGCAGAAATGCCTATGACCTATGGCTGCAGAAGGCTCCCGGTTTCCGGACCCGATGTCAACAGTACGGGAGAAGGGGGGCCAAACGACTCGAGCCAGAAAAACCTCGCCAACCCAACGTAACCAGTAGTAGTAACCAAACGAGAACCCCTGACAAACGCCGACTTGTGTACACCATCAGCTTGTTCTTGCTATGTTTGCAGTTCTTCAAGTGACACGTTATTCCGCAGTATTCCTGAGGTGCTAGTTTTGGTTAGATTGCTTCAGGCCTCTGGAGGCACGACATTTTTGCAACGCTTCCATAGTCTTGTTCATCTAGTAACTGTAGCGTCGCAGGTCCGCCTGATAAACGATGGCACAACCGAGGCCGCGGGTGCAGGCGGCACGTTGATGGTGGGAAGCTGCCTTGTTGCCGACAGCTTTGCAAGCTTTGGGCCCGGAAGGTTTCGATTTGGGTGCTCAGCTACTTAGAAGTCTAATGCTGCAGTTGAAAACTATGTCAACATCAGTCTCTAACGTGTTCCTGTCGAACATAGCCCAATCTAAGCATCGAAGAGTATCAATCCTAAACTTACGCACTCGCCTGTACAACTTAGGACTTAGACTTAGACTTAGCAAGACACCGAACAGGTTCAGTGGCCGTTTCAGGTGAACTGCAGGTCCCGCCACGCCTGCGACTGCTTTGTTCTTCCGATGAATGGAAGCCATCAAACTTGACATTCGAAAAGCTCAGAAGAAAGTCGGGCTTCTGAATTTGTAGGAGGCACCGTGCTGACTTCACTGACTTGTTCTGCAATTGTTTGCAGAGATATCTGTTGGACTCTCCAACGCCAGCCCTCAACCTCCTTTGGACCTCTTTTGGCAGGCCTAACAGCAGACGGCGAAAGGGCCGCATGTAGCCTGAACTGGTTTGGGGCTCGGAAAGCTGCATGGCACTCCGACTTCCAGAAACGTGGTGACTGGTGCTGTGGCGGGTGGGGTCATGACCCGCTATGGGCAATCTGACAATCTCCCTCCTTCACACAAACCTCGTCTAGAGCCTCAAGGTGGCCCCTTCAATCTAAAAAAGCCCCAAAAAGGCCCCAACCCCCTCCCCCTCCCCCCTCCCCCCTCCCCCCAAAGAGAAACAATTGAAGGAGGCCTGGAAGGCCCCAGGTGCCCTGAGTTCGCCGCTTGCGTGCTTGGCAGTCCTGAAAGAGCCACAAAATCGGTCGCCAAATCACATTCTGACAATCCGGCTTTCCCAGAAGACTCGTTCTGACACCTAACTGTGTGGGTCTCGTGAGTCTTTCGGGTCAACAAAAGCCTTGGGGTTGGACCTATTCGGGCGGCAGGGCTTCCGGGATTCGTGCCGCAGCGGCTCAAAACGCAGCTGCGCACGTGTGAGTGTTTAGGGTGCAACTTCACGGGTGCTGTCTACATCCGAGGTTCGTACTGGCAATTTCATCATTTATAACCGCAAGGGATGCAGATACCCTTCGACGCTCCGCAATGCCCGATCTTGCGCTTGCAAGGCCAAAGGGGGAAGGCTCGGACTGTGAAAAGCAGGGCGTCCGTCACTTCTTCGACAAACTCGACCCGTCCGAGCCCACGATTCGAGCCGAACCGCCCGAGGCCACGCCCTCGTCCCGAATGCTGGGGCTGCTAGGAGTTGGCTTCCAGCTGACCCAATTCTGCATGGCATCCTCCCCACTCTTGCTTTCCCAAGCCTTCGACCCTTGTGCATGGACACTTACGCAAGAAAAATGAGATGCAATGCTACAGCTGCTACAGTTTTGCGGCACCACACAACCTTTTGGAGACTCGTGTTTCTTCTCTTCCTAGAATACAAAACGAGGAGGCCCTAACATGAAGGTAAACGAACGTGCTGAAGACCTTGGGCGTGGTAGGTTCCCGGAAGTTTCTACTTGTGGTTTGAGGTCTTGAACATGTTAACTTTTAACCCTTGAAATATGAAAACAAGTTTAGCTCTTGAAGCCGCAATGTCTAGGTTCAAGTTTCATATCGGCCTGGACAGGCCAGGCTCCGGAAAATCTCCAAGACGGTTAAAGTTAAAGTGCGCAGAATGCCCTGCTTGACAACCCCATTCGAGTAAGGATGTAGCTGGGATGCGCTTGGAAACCCTTTGTTGACTTGACATGAATTCGCCTGGCCCTCGTCGTCTGACGCATCGGCTCCTGCCACTTTTGAGTCACTAGAAAGTACAACGGATGCACGTGCAAACGTCCTAGAACCGTGCATGACACCCCCCCCCCCCCCCCCGAAAAAAAAACAAGGCAAAGATCGAATTCACAGGCCTTCATGGAGCGCGGTGAAAACGCTGCACGGACTAACCAGCGCACCATCATCCAAGACCTGGGCTTACCAGGTTCTCCTCAAACAAAGACCAGAGAACACGCCTGCAGGTCTGATAGTTGCTGTGTTGACCGAAAAAGGTCCATTGGCACCCCTTCCTCTCCGAGCAAACCCAAACATGCGAGCGGCTGTTTAACCACCCTGAACATCCCTGAACCATCGGCTTCAAGCCCCTGCTCCAGTTCTGTGCCACGCAACCAAAAAGTTCACGTTGCTCAGCTGATGTTGCACCTGCGGCTACAAGTAAAAGCCAAACCGTTGAGTCGCACTGCCTGGCATGTCCCTTGCAGATCCACCCACGTACCGGTCGAATTGGGCAATTTGCCGCAGCTACGTCCCCCGGCCCCGCAGAGAACGCAGGGGTGGTGTGTGTTTGCTGGCAATACTGAAAACTCCACCGTGATTTTCAGCTTGGGGGGAGGGGCGGCTGCTTTGTATACACTTTTGTATACACTGATTGGCTTCAAGAGCATCATTGAACTTGCCGATGGATGTGGCTGCACCTCCCAAAGTCCCTTGCTGTGGTCGTCCGGGACATGCTGTGCTTTGCAGCATGAAATGCCCAACATGTGCGTGATTTATGAACATGTTATGCACATGGCATAGCACCCTCACACACTGACGTGGTCACATTGCCGAGGTTCTATTCTTGATGCAGCTTTCAGAATGCCCATTCTGTCCGGCAAGTAGCATCTTTGGATACACTCAACCATTGCCGAGAACTTGGGGGGCGGGGGGGGGGGGGGCTTTTCGTGAATGCGAGTCCCCAGGAGCCCTGGAGTCGAAAAAGCGAAGAAGCAACCGTGGCCCCACCATCATCTGGGTCGCATGGCTGCGCTTGTGGAGTGTCGGCCTTGGTACTCGCAAAAGCTCAGAGGTTAAGCAGCCAACGGTTGCGCTGTGGGACCTGAATGCCATGGAATGTCTTCCCAGTAACATCCAAGTGACTGCAAGGCTTTCAGATGCTGTGTGACGACCTCTCAACAAAGTGAAAAAAGTGGCAGGCGATCCCTTCAGGACTCCCGACCCCACATTGCTCTTTTGCATGTGATTCTGGCATTTAGCTGCTCTTAAGATTGTTCATGGGGCCTCAACTGCATAGTAGGACTTGGGGCATTTGCTTATGTCAGTATGCAACACAGTGGCCTGCCGCGGGAAGTTTTTTATCATTGCAAAGAAACGCCGCCACACCCGCAGGCTGGGACCCGGAACTGACCCTGCAAACATCCCTAGACAACCCTAATCGAAGTGGAGAGAGAGAGAGGGAGTTAGTTTTGAACTTCTACAGATCTGGCTCCCTAAACACCATGTAGGACACGGCCTGCTGTCGCCGCTCCCGAAGTTCGTGCGATGACTCGCTCCCGGCCGTGGGCACACTCTCTTGCGACCACCTACTGGCAGGGGAAGTGGATACACCAGACTATGCGGTCAAGGAAACTGCTGGACATGATAACGTTCATGTTGCCGGCGCGTTCTTCTCCGCGCGCTTTCCACATTTCCACACCCGATTCGAGAAACTAAGTCCGGAGACGTGATTCAGATACCAACTTCCTTCAGGGAAGTGGGGGCATGTGGGCGGAGGTGCAGAGACCATATAGATACTCCGGTTCACTTGCACCAGTAATCGCGGTTTTGTCCACGTTTCCAGTTTCCGAATCCGCGGCCTCCAACTTTCCGAATCCGTGGCTGTCCACATCTACAAGTTTCCGCAGATTGCCTTTACTAATTCTCCGAATCATCCAATCATCCGAATCTGCACTTTCCCTGACTCCCGCTCCCGCGTTTTCCAAATTCCCGGATCACGCACTCTTTCCCAGTTTCCGAGCATGATTCGTTGACCACGAACTGTGATGGATGTGAGGCTGTAAAGTCCAATCGACCCTTTTTCTCCGGTACTAGTACATGTCTGGCACTTGTTCTTTAAAGAACAGTTGCCGAGCACAGGTTTCCAGTAGGCATAAGTCAAGTACTGGTTAACGGGTTTCTTTTGTGGTTGTCTGGTAATGTCTGGTACTCGTCCACGAATTTAATGGAGTCCGAAGCTGGAACGAGTTGCAAAATCTAAGCTAACGCCTACTTCTGAGGGCGGCACAACAACCTAAGCCGACAACAAAAATGCACCAAAAATGGGACTAGTCATGTAAGACGTTCATACTTCCGAGGGTGGCGCGAAGGAAGAAATAAGATGTAAGGACATGGCAGCCCGGCTCAGACTAAGGGCTTCCTGCGCCAGAAGGCTGGTCCAGCGGGAATACAAAAGGTCGAGTGGGAAGGGATGCAACGATTCGAAAAGACTTTGTAGCAATGGAAATGGAGCGACGGCTCGAGAAGCCGAAAGACATCAGGAGCCGCAAGTGCTCTGGACGCTGCTTTCGTGTCTGTCTCTGTTAGAGCTTGTTAGTCGTCATCCAGCGCTCAGTATATCAGCGTGCTCCTCGCCCTTGTCTTCTCGGGTGGCCATGCACAGCCGGTCGACGTCCCACAGAACGTGGGCAGCTTGCTTGTCTCAGGTGCCAGAGCTTTCGAATCTGGTTTCCTGTACCGGTGTTTTTGAGGAAGCACTCAAGGAGTTCGTGGACTGTAGTTCAGCTTGTCAAAAACCAAGGGATGGCATACTCAGCGTCTATCAACGGTCAAGAGAATTCAAAAGCGGAAGGTAACGGGAACGCTGCCTGCCCGTCAAGAGATCTAATCAGAGCTTGCAGCATGCAGAGCACTCAGACGGGCAAAACATCAGCGCTACGCGATCACACCCAGAAAATCCACGAAAACCCTCTGCCCTGTTCGACTTCAATCACACGACCGAGAACTGAATTTCCTTGTTCCATTTGGGCTATGTTTCCAGGACAGTTTCCAAGATTCTCTTTAGGTCCATGGCCACATTTTAGTAGAGGCACCATAGAGGCACTTAGACGCTTGAGGAAGTTCAGGTCCGCTACACGGAGAACAGCCTCTTTCCCCAAACAGACCGACGAGTCGATGGCCTGTGTGTGCACGTTGGACATCCCGTTTCAAAACCTAAAGTTCTGGTCTACACTGTTGAAGGGGGTCTTTGCCAGTGCAATGTCTGTAGTGTGGAGACTTTGCGGCGGAACGTCCGACCTGCGTGCAACCTCCGCCAGGTTTGCGACAATGACTTCCAGGGACGGCGGATCCTGGAAGTGGTCTCCGGCTTTGTCGGCTTTGTCTCAGGCTTTCTTGGGGTTATGGGCTTCCAATGTGGCTTCCAATGTGGCTGCATGTGGCTAGCATGGCAAAATGCTTTTGCCACGAGCAGAAGCATCCTGTAGGTTGCCGAAGCGTTGCAGCAGTGCCTTCGGCCAGCTGCGGAAGGCTTGCTGGTCGAGAAGCCTGGGACATTCGGTTTGGCAAATGTGTTTTCAAGACTTTGGCCGCAACTAAACGCTCATCAAGCAAGTTGACCTCTAAAGGCTGACAACATGTCTAAACAAAACTTCTGAAAACAAAAGTCCAAGCAGCACCAATTGTGTCCACGCAAGCGGCGCATGCTCGAAAAGTGTGCATGGAGTATCCTGGACTTCTGAAAGAAAGCCAAACGTGTACCACGGGTGACAAGCAGAGCCTGAAAGCCCTAGGCGCTGAACACCCGGCAACCACGAAAGACCGACATACTGCGACACGAGCCCCGAACTGCTTGGACTTCTGTTTCAACTCAGCGTCCAGCGCCACGCAGTCTGGACTTGAGGGTGGATCATGCGGAGGCCAGGCCCCGCTTCGCGAGGAGGCTGGGAAAGCGGGGAAAATGCGGAACCGGCTGAGCGAAGCGTACGTTCGCGATGACCACTTCCTTGGATGTTGTCAAGCACGGATAATGGAAAACCATGCTGCCCAACTACCGACTGCAAACAGTGATAAGAAAGACTTCAATGGCTTTCGACACCCAAGCGTCAGGCCATGGAATCGTTTCACCAGCTGAGCGAGCAAAGTCGACGCAGCTTCCACCCGATGGCCCCCTGCATTTTGTGCCAGGGCCTGTGGAGAGTCTACCAGGCTACCAGGCTACCAGGGTCTACATGACATTCAAGTTCGACTTGAGGCCTGTGCCGGAACATCCACTTTCGGGCTTTGGTTCCGGATTCAAACTTGAAACATAGGCCCGTAGGCTTTGAGTTTGGGTTCGCACTGCCTGGCAAAAGCTTGGTGTCGGAGGTTCAGGCTTCATGGGATTTCCTTGCCTAGGCTAGGGTTTAAAGAGAGGACCATGGGGCTTAGGGCATTATGAATTACAAGGGAAAACAGTTGTGGGAAGGGGGCCAGCTGGGATCAGGATCTTGCATCAGTTGTGCGTATGCGCGTGCGCGCGGGTGTGCGGGTACGTGCGTGCGTGCGGATACGTGCGGGTACGTGCGTGCGGAGGTGGGTGAGGGCGTGCGTGCGTGCGTGCGTGCGTGCGTGCGTGGGTGGGTGGGTGGGTGGGTGGGTGGGTGGGTGGGTGTGTGCGCGCCGGCGTCTCTGCGTGGTGATAGTGGTTTCCAGCGAGAGATTGGAAACATCCTCGGTAGAAACCCTTGCACGGAGTATGTGCTTGTTATGAGAGGGACAAGCCCAACCGAACCAAACCTGGATCACAAACTGTCACAAGCCAGTGCCTCGGTCCTTGCCGCAGCTCTGAGGAACAGCTCCTTCGAAAGCCCCACGATTCCCGCAAGCTCATGTAAACCTCAAGCGCGTTCCGAACAATCATACCTCCCAGTTCATCACCCAGAAATCAAAAATCTTGCTGGTGGTTCAGGGCAAACCAGCCTTCAGTTGGGGCTCCCGCCATAAAAACCGAGGGGTCGCAAGATGCGGATTCAAGGCTTGAGGCTTCTCGTCTATTGCAGCTGAATTTATCACACGCGGCGATGTGCGGCTGTGGACGCAAAACCAAGGATTCCTTCGAACAACCAGAAGCCTTCTCCCACGGTGCCGCTCCTCATCGGCAAAGCTTTTCAAGCCCGCTTTCCGCAGCACTGTCAGAATCTCAGGAGGCTGCCAAGGCTTGTTCAAACTGCGGGATGCAGTGGTCGGGGTTCAGGGAACACACTATAGGGCTTTTAACTCTGGTCGTTGCCTCTCACTTGTAGAGCATTTGCGAGCACAACTCAACGTTGTTGCTTTCCATTCTTGTCTTGAATTCTCTAGTGTGGCTCGTACTACAGATCGAATGGACAGGATGAAGAGAACGAGTGGCTAAAGCATGGAAGCGCAGCTTGCACGGCTGGGGCACTGGGGTCGAGGGTTTTTGCGACAAGGCTGTCAGGCAGGGTCTACATGTTTGGGTGCTTTAGGACTAGCATGTCCAGGACCCCCAAATCGAGGTGCTAAACCTTTACTTAATTGCCTACAAAATCAAAAAGCAAGGCAAGCGGCCAAAGGCGTGCAGTACTGTTTCGGAGGGAAGGTCGCCGACGTTCCCAGCAAATGGCCTAGATCCTCACCGAACCCGGGATCACTGCGCGGTCGAGGTTTCTTCATGGCTTTTTGTTAGTTCTTTCGACACGCACGCTCGCACACGCAGGCAAGGTTTGAGGTTTCCGCATAGAGCAGAGCCATGATGCTAGAAAGCGGAAATTTGTCTGACATTGCCCAGGATCTGCATCATCCGGGTCGAGCAGGTCTTGGGCCCGGCACCGCTTCGGTACCTAGGCAAGGTGCTTATCACTGTTGCGCAGCAAGCAGACAGAAGGTCCGAGGCAAGTGCCTTGCCAGGCTCCGAGTCGAAGACCACAACTGGTGCTGCCTTGCTTGCAAACGGTCGCTGGAAGTAAGCACATGCGCGGCGATGTGGACTCTTCACCAAATGATCCGTGAAGCCTCGCAGGCTTGAGCCAGCTTCTCACATTCTCGGCTTGCGCCAGAACGGGAGAAAACCGCCCCGACTGTTGCCACGCTTTCCTTTGCTGGGGAATCACAAAATTTAAAAGCCAACTACGTGGATAGTCCGATTGAACGACTTGCTGGAACACCAAAAGCCAGCATTTCTGAAGAATGCCGCGTCTCCAGAAAGCGGATTGAAAGCTCCTGGTCAAAGACTCCAGCTCGAGGGGCGCAGAAGTTTGCCAGGAAGCTGGCCAAAGAAGGGCGCCTCACCTCACTTTTCCAGGTGCTTCGCTGGTCTAAGTTCTGGGGTGGTTAAGAGTGCTGAGATGTGCTGAATATCCGATCAACTGAGTACTGAGTGCTTTGATATGCTTTGGTGCCTCCAACTCTCGAAGCACATCGCCTGCGGCCCCTTCCCAACTCACCAGGAAGTCATCAAAGAAGGGGTGGAGCAGCTGATCCCACCCCTCGTCGGGGCTTATCACTGAGGCACTGGATGGAACCAGCGGAACTGCAAACCTGCCGCCGGTCGTGGGGAAAATGGGCAGCGTCAATGCGCGCTCGGCCTCTTTCTTGTTGGCCCTGCGTAGAACTGAGCACACGAGTCGCTGCAGTGGAAGAGCCCTTTCCGTCGTCAGCCTCGCCGCCTTTAGTCCATGGTGTAGGCGAGAATGGCGGCTTTCATTGCCAGTCACAGTGACAGCACTCGAAGAACCGAGCTCCTCCTCGAGGGCTCGGCACAAGGCTCGGACTACAGAGACCCGGTCCTCGGTTGTGAGAAGCTGGCAATGCAAAGCAAACATGGCTTCTTGAACGACGGCTAACTGGCTAATCTGGCTAAGCATGCAAAAACGTGCGACACACACGCAATCTAAAGCCTCGTACCAGTGCCAGTGCCTGCAGTTTGAATCTCTGAATCTCTTGAATCTCTGAATCTTCTCAGGCCCGGTCCAAGCCCAGGGCCGAGCGCAGCTTTGTTCCTGGCCTCAGGAGCGGCACGCCCAATGATGCCAAGAGCTTCACCTGAGTTCTTGACACCCTGCTTCGGGAAGCAATGGAATTCACGAAGCTTGCCGGGGGTTTCTTGGGCGGCGACCACCCGCACTTACGTCGACTTACGTGTTGCAGGGCTGAAACCAGCCAGGCCACCTCCTCAACGGAAAAGTCCTCGATTGCAGCCAGGTTCTTATTGCCAGCAGCTGACATGCTGATGAGGCGCAAGTGCCCGTTGATGCCGACATGGTGTGGGTGTGGCCCGGATGGCCCAGCTGCCTCTACCGGCACGCACGGGAACACCTGCAAGGCTGCAATGGAGCTGCCCTTCTCCTGATTGCTTTCCACCAGCTTCCAAATCAATGAGCAGCGACGAACTAAAGCGTCCAAGCCTGCAGCATCAAGAATTGGACAGGTTTGCGCCGTTTGCGCAGTGGACTTGGCGACAGGCGTTGCGACCTCCCCTGCTTCCTCCCAATCTTCCTCGTCAAAGTCCTCACTGCCCTCCTCATCCCACTCATCCTCCTCCAGAACATGCTGCACCTTCGTGCCATTTCGCTTGCCGTTTGGCAGCTTCGTGAGCTTTGTGGCTGGCTTCTTTTTGCTGACGCTCTGCTTTGGGGCAGCCTTGTGGGTGGCCTTGACCCGCGCCGACGGCTGTGCCTTGAATTGCGTCAAGTACTCCTGGCGCACGGCTTCTTGCGTGCGGCCGTCCACCTCTACTTGCCCAGCCTTGGTCACCACGACTTGGCTCTTGTGCCGCCAGGAAGGTGGCAGAATTGTTGGCAGCAAAGCTGGCAAAGCTTTGCCGTTCAGTAAGCAAATGTTCAAGTGAGAGTTGGCCACTCGCGGCTTGAGCAAAGCAAAAGTGCGGGAAGATGGCTCGACGAAGTCCCGGTCGGGAAGAAGATCCTGGCAATTTGCAGATCGCCCTAATCGACATGATTCTGTGAATCGATTAATAGAAGATGTACGTTTGATGCCTTGAACGCATATGAGGGCTTCTTCAAGTCAAGCCAGGTGTCCTGCATTTGTGGGTCTTCTGACCAGAAATACTCCTCCCCCTCCACGCGATGCAGAAAGGTGCCTTTGCGGCCTCATGAGAACCCAAAGGCGGGTGAGGCGTGGCTGGTGTGTGAGCCCTCTGACGTTTACTTTGCACCAACGGCCCGCCTGACAGGAGTGGGCAAAGCCTGAGCTCGTGCAGCAGCGCCCTGTGACAGGGAACGTTGTTATGGCCTGGAGTTGGATTCCTAGGGTCCTCATGGTCCTACACCTTCCTTACAGCTTGAGCACGGGATGTGCCCCTCACTGCAGGGCTACGAGGAGAGAGCCACCAAAACAATTTCTGCACCCGGTATGAAGGAAAAAAACCTAAGCCAAGCGGCAGCGGCCCGGAGCCGTTTGGAGACAGGAGATACTCCACCAGCGCATCTGCCTCCTCCATGGTCGAATGCTTGGTATCATAACCTTTCAGCATGTTGGCAAGGGACTGCGGCTGAAGCCACGTAGTTCCCTTGACCTCTGTAAGGATCTCTCCCAAGGCAGCTGGAACCTGAACGATGGTCCGCCGTTTTCCCATCAGGCACAGCCTTCGCAGTGCCGTGCGCATCTCATCTTTGAGCCGACTGAACTCTGGTTCCTGGCAAAGCAAAGAACACTTTGCAGTCTGGAAGCTTTGCTGGTCATCCAGAAACACGGCCGCCTCACGGATAACAAGCTCCTCACTGACCCGCCTTGGCAAAGACACAAAGTGCCCACTGGCCTTTTCAGGCCAAAGACTCCACAAACCCTTCTTGAACTTGGGCAGCTCTTGAATCTCTTGGCACAAGGCATCTGAGATTATGCTCATGTACGGGAACGGGAGCCCTTTCTTCTCCTCATGCCTGCTGAGTGCACCGGCAGCTAACAATTCCAGCGCGTCTGCATAAACTCTGGGACACGTGGAGTCCAAAAGGTTCTCGTTCCAGAGAGCCCGGCAGTGGCTCTCGCTGGCCACTCGGTCATCACTGCGTCTCCACAGATCGCGGCGATTGGCCGTCAAAGCGAAATTCGCAGAGATATGGACCGGCAGACCCGTGGCAAGCGAAAGCGGAAGGAAGCAGTATGCCTGTCCTTCCAAGCCAGATTCACTGTCAAGTTTTTCGGAAGAAAGAGGTACCGCCACAGCTGCAACACGATGTGTCGGTAGCTCATCCTCAGCCAGGCCGGCTGTGACCTGCCAGGGACAGGCCGGTGAGAAAGCATTCGATTGCCGAGCGCAAAGTGGACCGAACGGCGAAAGACATGACAACACAAAAAAAAGTCTTACTAGTCATAGAGGGCCCCAAAACCGAGCGCGAGCGTCACTGAGTCACTGCGCATGTCTTGAGAGTTTTTTGAGTTTCCTGGGCTGACCTCCTTGCTTTCCACAGGCTCGCTGCGCATGGCCACCAGCCACGGCTTGGATCGCTCCACGGAGTCCACGGAGGCTGTGACCTCGAGCAGCAAGCCTTGCCTTCGAGCCTTCTTGAGATCCTCGGGGAGCTTCATTCAGCTTCAAGGAGAACATTAGAGGGGGAAAAAAAACGCAACAAAAAAGGTCCCCGGGTCCCAACTCAGGACGTGCAAAAGGCCTGCAAAGGCCAAGTGTCCTTCGCCATGTTGTGGAGCATGAGCCTTTCCTTCCTCATGCGCTCCGTGGCGGCCGCCGACGCCGTCCGAATCCAGGAGCGGCCCAAGCAACACCAAGCCTTGCCAGCGTGGCGGACGTGGATCTCAATCATCTCGACACTTTGGAGAAAAAGCAGCAGCTCATCTGCACTTGCTGCCAACTCTTTCAACACGGCCAAGACATCCCCAAAGTTGCGGGCTTGATTTGAAATGAGGGACCTGGATGCCAACTCTGGCGTTCTGAGCGGCAGCCGAAACATTGTGCCAGGCTCTACGGCCTCTACGGCCTCTACGGAGTCCACAGCATCTGAAGCGTGGGCAACTTGGGCGACGTCCGCAAAGGGAGCAAGTTGAGCCCAGTACTTCTTTCTCAGCTCTGTGGTCAACTGTACTTGCAGGCCTGGCAGATCCGAAGGCAAATGGGCACGATGAGGATCGAAAATGCAAAGGCGATCCCGTGACACAAATGACACCACATCGGTCAGATGGTAGGTGGAGTTGAATCCCAGCCCATACCGCCCGATCTTCGAGTGGTCGGACCGCTTCACTGATGCACCCACCTGCCGGATGCCTTCAAAGTCGGAGTCCGTAAACTGCGCATCGTTGACCTAGGTTATTGTGTGAGCCATGGTTGAAAGATCTTGTAAACTAGAGCTAAAGGCATCAACAAAAACCAATGCCGGCCCTGAGAACGCGAGCCATGTGAGCAAGGCGGCAGCTACGACCGCTGGGCCCTGCCACTGCGCCAGCCGTGCATCCAGGAGGCCCGATTCTTTTGGGTGCACCGTTGCATCCGCATAGAGCGCGAAACGCCGAGCGCCGGCGTCATCCTTGGCTTCAACACCGAAGCGCCACTCTGCAAGCTTATGCATGATTGTGCATGCTTCGCTAGTCCCTCGACGGTAGCACCCTGAACAACCACAACGTGTAAACGTGTGTAAAACGTGTGTAAACAAGGCGTACAAGCATCTGCATTTTGCAACAGCTCGCGGAAGACACCGGGGCCAAAGGCGTAGTCATGTAAGATGTTTCGCAAACGGACAGTCAGATCTTCTCGCTGCGAAAACTCGACGAATGGCGAAGCATCCTCCATGGCAACTGTGACTACAAAGTTTTACACAACTCTCAAGGCTGAGGGCTGCTTAGGGCTTCGGATGCCATGGGCTGGGGAACATGGGCTACGTCCCTTGAATGGCTTGTGGGCCAGGTCCTGGCCCCATTTGACCCCAGCCACGAACGACCACGACTATGAATCTGGTGACTGGCGTACCACTCTCTCGAGTCTCAGTCGTGCGCAGGCACTCGAAGAGTCGCTGGTGGTGCCATCGCAACTTTTTTTGACTTGCAATTGACCAGGACCTACGGTTAAAGGTTCGGCCAAATATCCAGTGAAACACCTGCGCATGGCGTATGTACATGGCATTTCGGTAGCGCCAACAAGAGCGCGAGCTCCTTCTTGAAGCCAAGCTCTTAGCCGCCCGACGCTCTGAAACCGACTATGCGAAACATGGACTCTACTCCTGGCCAGCCAACCTCGCTGTCAGCATCACCAGGGCTGGAGTCCTCGCACTGACGTTCCAAAAAAACGACCAGGATGACGACTGAGTCCCGTAATTCGGGAAGGAGTGGCTTGCGGAATATTCATGCATGGTGTCTGCCTCCTCATCTGTTGTAGCGGAGCGGTCGTCTGCAAGATCAACATCTTTGCCTCTGCCTCTCCCACCTTGGACAGAAGAAGTGCCGCGATGTGCTGTGGTTGGCACTTACCTCTGAGAGGGGAACCTCGCGGCAAGAGATCTCTTGTGTCCTGCTGAGCAAGCTTCGACCCACGTATTTCTGCGCAGGCACTTGAAACCTTCTGCGATGAACACTTTGTTGTGCGGGCCGAACTCCTGGTTCGTGGTGGCAAAATGGTTGTCCAGCAAGTCGAGGCCCTTGACCTTCTCGCCCTTTGACACTCCTGCGGTGCAGGAGCTACGCGCAACAAAAAAAGAGCCATTTCAATGCGATTACTTGTTGCTGGTTGCGTGCCTCGCATTGCTGTTACTCACCAGGGTTACGCCCAGATCGTGGACAGCTTTTGCCTGGAAAACCGGTTTCTGCACCCTCATTCTGCCTGGGGAAAGCGAAACATGCGGCAGCCGCTTGTTTCTACATGGCCAGGAAGTCAAATTCACAACCAACACACATCCCGCGCGCAAAATCAAAACCGTGTCATTGTATGGCGGCAAACATTTGCTTAAAATCACGAAAGCTAGAGTAGCTAGGCTTGAGTTTAACTCTGCTTTGGCAGACAGACCGGTCAAGCCCCCCCAGAGTTGTAAATTAGTTGATTTTGCCGGAAAAGGGGCGGGTCAGTAGTGACTTTAGAAAGGGGGGGTGGGGGGGTCAGTATTGATTCTTTCAATAAAACAGGTGGGGTCAATAATGGTCAAAATTGATTCTATCAATACGACCTTGGGAGTATACTTGGAGGGTTATGCAATGATCTTGAGCTAAAGATGGCGGTCCATACGAGCACGTGTTTGTACATCTTCTTACTCAAGCGCGTGTTTGGAGAGCTCTGCGGACCTGAATCGCGAGTTCTGTGATTGCAGCGGGGATCTTGAAACAAAGATCGCGGTCTGTCTGAGCGCATGTAGCAAAGCAACCCAAGCATCGAAGACGCACCAATTACCAACACAACAACACACAGTAATCCAATATGCACCAATAAGCAAGACAACCGCACATAGGAAGTGAAGACGCACCAGTACGTAATAAGCAAAACAAGTGCATAGAGTAAGCAAAGTCGCACCAACAAGCAAAACAACCGCGCTGACATTCAGCGAAGATGCATAAACATGTAGGACACCTTGAAAACCCTAAAGCCCTACATTTCCTGCACAGGGGGCAGGAGAGGTGCTTCTCGGCCTGATCCCTCCGCGCCCCTTTTCCGTCTCCCCCCTCACCCCTTACACCCCAAACCCCTGAGAACCCTGAGCCACTAAGCAGTAAAGCCCTCAACCGTAAATCTTCTGAACGCCCAATGGCCTGGGGGAAGTCCTTCGCCAGCGTCCTCTCCAGACACAGCGCTTGCTTAGTAATTAGTGACGAATTAGTGCTAAAGAAAATTCTGACTGGTTTTGACGACCTGCCTGTTCCAAGCATGGGGCCCGGAAGCGTCCCGAAGTCAGCTGCGCCAATCGTTGCAAGCCCCTGCCCGAGCTTTGGGGCGAAAGCAAACAGCGCAACGCGTCCGGGGCGTAAACATCCATCCTGTTCTTTGCTCCGCCCGGGACGCAGTTAATGCCGACCTTGGCTTTGCACAACGTGGAAAGATGAACGCATTGAAATCGCAGTAATGGCATTTCCCGGGACTTCAGAGGCCCAGCAGCACCCGCTGAAAAACAAGAGCGCTTCGCACTTTCGAGAGCAAGAGCACTTCTTTGTCTGTACAATGCATGTCATGTCCACACAAGTCGATGTTTCCGCCCGCGTTGTTTTGACATATTTTGATAGCCTTCACAGGGCTGACTTTGTCAGGCGCATAAGGCCCATCATTGAGTGCTGTTTGGGCAAAACTTCCAGGACAAATGCCATGGCAAGGGTGGGCCCTGCTGGGATCATGGGGGTTTCCCATGACTCTCTGATCAAACCCCAAACAGAAGAAGCTCAGATTTGGGGAGCTTTTCGGCATATTGTGCAAGAATCGGGTTGCTCCGTCAACTATTTCTTTTGTAATTCTTCGCTGTTGTCGGTTTCCTGTTGCCACTGTTGTTGATATTGTATATGTCTGTTTATCATTTGCCCTTGTGGGACTTTTATGAGTCGACAGGGACGCGTACAACTTTTAAGCCATAGGTGGGCCCTTCGAAGTGTCACCTTTATGTACAAGCCGTCACTCGCGCAAAAGAGTCCGAATCTTTCACGCCACCTGGCTTGGGGCCTGGACTGTGTGCAGCTTCGGGCGCAGTGGGTGGCTCAAGTACTGCACCTGCGTCGTATCAGATTCCACGGACGCAGCTTGGGGACCTGAACCATGCATCTTGCCTGCACCTGGGTCAAGAGCTCCTCTTTGACCTGCAAGCTTCGTGCATGCAAAGTGAGGCCCAGCTAGGATCAGAAACAGATTCCATTAGATGGGCACTTGCATGGGTTTTTGGATCATGCAAGGCCGGATTACCATGGACACCAGCCCCCCCAACACGGGCAGCCTCCGATTCACCATCAGTGATTAAGTAGATGGCTTCGGCGCTCTTGTAAGAAAACGCCTTGGCATTCAAAAGAGCTTGGGGCACTCGACACAGGAGTAAGAGAACAGCTGGGTTGACGGCCAGTCGCAAGGCTGCGGCAAGATTGCTGATGCCCCCCGCCTCGCCCAGACATAATACAACAAGCACAAAAATTCTGACTGCTCCCCCGAAGAAGGCCTGCACTTGCTGACAGAATCGCATGGCAGCCTCCCGCAAAAAGGGATTCAGCGCTTCAACGCTGCAAACAAGCAACCTCTGAGGGCTTTTGGGCTGCAGGGTTGTAACAAATCAGCAAAGACATGAAGTGCTAGGTAGTAAGCTGGGGCGGAAACTGCAGGGTTTGATGCAAACATGCTCCCGAAAAATGGTTTGCCAGCACCCACACAGCTATTGAATACTGCCGCTTTGTGCTCCGGAAAATCAACATTGTTTGCTTGATCCCTATGCCGAACTCGGGGGGCTTAACACTTCAAAGGTCCTCCACGTTCTTGGGCGTAGCATCAACGAGGTCACCATGGAACTCCACCTCACAAAGGTAGATGCAGGGACAGTGGGCAGATGCCTCAGAAGTACTAAAAGCAACGTGAAAGAAGAAGCGCGGAGCGCGGCCTGGTAATCCGTGAAAGCCAAGATGTTGAAGCACCGCCCAGTTTTGTGAAACCTCGCTCTTCTGAGGGCTGTCTGAGAGAAAAAACTTGAGCATGGGAATTTAGGAGGTCTGAAGTCTTAAGTGGCTCTTGGGTGGCCCACTGCTGCATCAAGGCCAGGTTCACCGCACTTTTCACATCCTCCAGATACGCCTCTCAGTGAGCACAGGAGTCGTGAGTGATGTGTGATGAACGTGTGAATGTGGAGATTCTCTGCGCCTGCATGGACCCTGAGGCGTCCACCACAAACACCACATTGTCCTTGTGAATTTCTCTGCCACAATAAATGCTTAAGCAGTGATGCACCCACCTTTTAAGTTCACTCCCGGCACTTCCCGGCAAGCGAGCCTCGGAGATCCTGCCAAGCAGTGACCTAGGTGCTCCGGTTCTGCACAGCTGGTTTCCGAGATTACTCTTTGCGCGTCGTCACAATGGGTCTCCCCGGTGCCTCCTCCTCAGCTCTCCCTACTTCTCTTCCTACTTCTAGCCTGGCCTGCCTCGAGGTGTCTGTATGACACTGTATGACTTGCTGCTAGCAATGCTCCCTACTTCTCTGGCGCTGCAGAAGTGTCCTGCGAAAACTGTGCTCAAGTGAGGCGCAGGCCTGACAACAACGATTGTTAGTGCTTGACGGTCCGTGAGAAAAGAAATGTCCTTGCAACAGGCTGCGCATTCGGGACTGAACGTTCAAGGAACATCCGACTTGCGTGGCACGCGCCTGCGGCATGTACTCGGAGCCATCAGACGATGGCTTCACCGAGAAGACGAAGGGTTCAAGCCTCAGATCAGATGTCACCCATAGTCACCACAGCAGTCAGCACTGTCTTTTGCGCATGCGCATTCTGCGCATCCTGTGCTGCCAGCAACTCCAAAGCAACCAGCACCTGGCCCTGCTCGTCACTGCCTGGTGGGCCCGCAGAGGTGCTTTAAACTCCGGGGGCACATCTTGGCTCATGGAGTGAAAGGAAGGAGCCAAGGAAGGAGCCAAGGAGGGCTTTTATGAGTCAGATGCACGACGCTTCAAAGGCAGGCTATTTTGCTTTCTCGGCGCAGCCTCAGCTTTCCGAGCGGGTCTTGGGTGCATTTGCGCGGTTTTTTCGCAACTCATAAACAGTGAAACTCCAGGGTCGGCCGATCATGTCTGGGAGGAGCCCCGCTTTCGCAGCTCGAGCTCACTCTTCCTCAAAAGCACAGGAAGGAAGAATAACTGCTCTCCAACGAAACTGCCCTTGTGCACAAATGCCAGATCAACTCGTTGACTCATCTCTTGCCCAGGCACAACATGGCGTTCTCCATGTCTGAGAGACGGAGCTTCCTGTGCCCAGGAATCCGCAGGCACAGTGGTTCATCTCCCACACGAAACCTCCCGCGCCTGTCTGCAATCTCGAGCTGGCTGCGCAACAGGATGATTTGCCCATCCTGGTCAACTTTAACCAGTCATCTTCTGCGCAAGGCGCAGATGACCTAGCTCTCAAGAAAAATACGGCAATCGGTTCATTAGGCCAATTGCCCCCCCCCCCCTTCTTTGATTGATACCTTCGATAGAAAGATGTTTGCCTCGGGCACAGCTTTGTGTTTTTTGTTTGGGCGTCTAGGTTTGAGCTGGCCCTAGAATTGTCTCCCCAGAAGGCCCTTGGGCGGGCCAAGGCGGGCCGTGCACAATCCAGACCTAGGCCTCGTTCCTGATCGCAGCGACGACATCGATTCGGACATCCAACCCAGTCAGGCCTTGTTCGTCAGCTCATCTTTTAGTGCCTCTCGCTCGCTCTGCGCTGAGCGGAGCTGGCTGGTCAAAGACGGGTCCTCCACAATTTTTTCTCAGAGTTGAGACAACGAACCTCACCACATCTTCGCTCGGATTCGCCCTTTTTGCTTGCTTTCCCCGGGTCCTCCGCGCCGATGGAGACACCCTGGCAAGGGGCGCAAGCGCTCATGACTCCTCTGACTTTGGCCAACTGGCTCAAAGAGCTCCAACCCCGGATCGCGTTTCCCATGCCCGACCCCAATCAGCTTCTACCTACGGCCTCTGGGGATCCCTGTTCATTTTTCATATGCCACAATAAACTTGCAAAGGCAGAAAGCACTGGGGTGCTTGTCCATAATTTTGATGCCTGTTTTGTGCAACACTATATATCTCCGAGTTTCTGTTTTCCTTCTACCGGATGTCTCAAAGGATGAGATTGCATACGGCCGCCCAACAATGATAGCAAATGATGTCAGTGCTTAAATACTACGAATTACAAATCTTAAGAACTTATATACGCCACTCAAAATACGTTATGTGGCAGTTTAAGAGACGGACAAAAAGGAATAGGCGCTGAATGAAGCCACTCGTGTCGAATCATAGTCCAGAAACAAATGATTCATTGTTGTACATTATCTTCTGCTGCCGAAGCTTGCTGGAATGGTCAAGAGGCATAGGGAGCGGGAGCCGCCAATGAATTGTTGGAGTTGGGGCTGATAGTATGCTGAACCCATCCAGTTCCTGCTCAAGAAATCCTTTGCGAAGCCCCGAAGAAGGGCCCCTGTGTTGCAGCAGTGGCACATCCGAGCTTGAGCCCCGCTGTGCTGAGAGGATGTCGATGCGCGCCAAGGCCTCCATGCAAAAGCCCGAAAATCCAGGGCGTGGGGCTGTTCGGGGCTGTTCGGGGCTGTTCTTCGACCCGCCTTGGCAAGCTCCAGCTGAGAGTTTTCTTTGTCCTCAGGAGTGCTTGAGGTTGGGTGTGGCTCAGAACAGGAAACCTCAACGCCCATAGCAACTCTTGCCTTTTCGACGCGACACTTACTTCGACGCAACCCAACACGCCATTCCAGATCCAAGGTGTTGCACATATAGCCCCTGATGGTTTCTACTCTGGCCCGGCCCGTCAGAGCTACCCTAGAAACCTGTGCGGGTTCCTTCATGCCATTACTTGTCTAATTCCGACATGTGGCAAACATGCAGCGGTCCCTGAGTGTGCAGCTTGACAAAACTTCTCCGAATAGCGATGACTAGTGGTGCAGCTTGGACACATTCAAATCTGATGTTGGGGGGCTATTCTTCTTTCCACTCAGACAAGGCTCAAGGCTAAACGGGTGCGAATTAGATGCGTACTGACCTCCACTCCACAACCCTAAAGGCCCTAAAGCCTGCTAAACCCACTGCTGCCCATGCTCCCTCTCCAGCTTGTCGATCCGGCCTTGCACGGCAGGGCCCATTGTGCGGCGTGCGCGCAGCAGTCGCGAATTCAGAGGCTGTGAGATAGGCCTGAAATTTATGCCTTGGTTGCCTTTTGCTTACCTTGTGGAACGCATCTTAGAATTTCAAAGAATCCTTCAAGACGCGCGCGGTCGGTCGTTCAGCGCTTCTGCAACTCAGCCCTGGCCTTGCAACTCCCCCGTCTCGTCTGCCATGGCTTGGAGAAGGTGTGCCCTGCCGGGAGCAGAAGTGAAGCTGATGTTAAGCCGTAGGGGCTCCGAGTAGGCCCGCCTTTCTCTTTCCACATCCGCTTTGAAGCGCTTCATTGCCAAATCCTGCAAGAAATAGCACCGCAAGCATGTGAAAAGGTGTGGTGAGGCCACATGATCCATGACCACTGGTACTCTTAATGTCAAGACGACTCTGCAGGCAATCATTTCGGCATCGGTAAGAAACGTCAGGGATGAGGACATTGGGATCATTAGGCGGTCTACCAATCGCCGGTCCTTTTCTGCCAGCTTTGCATTCCTGAGTCTTCAGGGCACATGTCGAAGCCGCAACTCCTGATCGAAACCTTGATCTCCCGGTCTAACAAGAGGACGGGAGGCAACGAAGCAATCTCATCCTGGCACTCCCTGATCTCATCTGCCTTCACGATTTCTTGAGAAGCTTTCAGGCCCCAGGACGCCAAGTCTAATGGTCCAATGCTGAACTCTGCAAGGCCTTCTCGTTCTCGAACTCCTCGAATTGCTGCAGCATGTCGCGGGCATCCTGCTCCAGCCTCAAATGCTCCTTCAGTTGTAAGACCTGCACAACCTCTTGGCTAACTTTCCTGAAGCTGTGCTAACGCTACCTCACATACAATTATTTCTTGCCCAAGTTGCTTCTTGATCTGTGCCTGAGTGTCAGCATTGCCTTCGCCCTGCTCATTTTGCAAGCCTCAATTGCGCAGTTCGGGCTGTTCTTCTCCGTGGGAAGCTGGGTTTGGGAATCGAGTGACTTAGCAGTTCTGTTGCTGGGCAAGGCCTGGTTTGTGTTGCGATCGAGCGGATTCACTGGCTCGCTTCATTGCATCCGCTGACCAACCAACTTCAACTTCCTGCAGCCTCGGGACGTGGTGGGCCCACTGCACAGGTCTTCTCCTCCCTGAACTCCTGGCCACTGGCGTTGCCCAGTACGAGCGAATGGCATCGAGAATGGGATGCGCATGTTGGGCAGGTGCGCAGTGTCAATGCCAGATGTGCGCCCGGCACAGAGTTCACTCAGAGTGCAGCCTGGCCCGACTTGCCTATACTTTGTACTCTGCAGGCATTCTGCAAGTCGCCTTTTTTGCATCTGGGCTTGGAGTCTCGGCGAGAAGGCGAGAGTACAGAAGTAGATGCCAAGCAAGTTGGAAGCAGATTTGCGGGGATGCCAAAATGCAAGATCTTCCTGATGACGCAGTCATGCGTTAAGAGGGTATTGTCGGCACAGGATGGTTTCGGAGTTGAACCCGACCGATACTTCAGAACCTGCCTCCAACCTAAGCTGTTCCGATTCCCCAAGCCCACACCTACACCGCCCTGGAAGTCCTCCGACGGCATCTGTCCGGATCCTGGGCAGCATGAAAAGGAGCTGTGCGTGTTTAGGCAAGAGGCTTAAGAGTTCAGCTGTGGTTCACGGGCGCAGAAGCAGCAAGAGTCTTACAGAAGCATCGTGGCAAGCAAGCAGCAGTTCTTAAGTCTCAAGCTAAGCTTGAGAGCTACGCCTGCTAAGCGTGCCACCCGGACCATCTTCTCCTTTGGGCGCATCCCTCTTGCTCGCGGACAGCACGGGCGCCTCCAGGGTCTTCACAGCTTCCAAGCTTCCAAGCTTCCAAGCTTCCAAGCTTCCAAGCTTCCAAGCGGCTGCTGAGGCTCATGAGGCTCATCATGGCTCATCGCAAAAAGGGCTCGACCGATTTGAACGCATCGCGAACTTTGTGCTCTCGCGCTCGTTTCTACAAAGACTGGAGGCATGAACGCAATGTGAGAGAGAGAGAGAGGTTCTCCCCAAAAAGCAAGCAATGTCAACCCCCCGAAACCTCGGCAGATGAGGCACGGCCCGACCTTCACAAGAGCCGTATGCTGTAGAGGTAGTATAGATAGTATAGTGTAGTAGAGGTCATGCCTACGATGGAGCGGCGTGGACCCTGAAGCCAGGCCTATCCACAACTGTCCAGATGGGTCCATCTGCCCGATTCCCACTCACCTGCTGTGAAAGTGGGCCAAGGGCTTGGCTCTACACAGTGTTGCCCGCCAACGTGAACGTCGTCTGGGGCCGGTACAATGGATGCTGCTGCACACTCTGTGGTTACAGACTCGCACTCTTCCTCGGCCACGCTGTCCATCTTGTGCACCTGCTTAGCTGCCAAGTTGTTGTTGGCCCAGGTCGCACAGGCCATCGGTCGGTCTGGCGCCTTCGGTTTCGACCTCGAGGCCGTTCGGGGGCTCATGGCCACTACCGGAGTCACTGGAGGCACGGGAGTCACTGGAGCCATTGGGTCGACGGAACTTCTGCCTTGGTGACCTTGTCGATGTTGGCCCTGTGCGGGGTCGAAGAGGAAGAGCATTGGTGGGGGTTGGCCCGGTTGGGCTACTGGGACTCCATTCGCATATCCTGGGAATGGGGGCGGCGAAGCAGCGCGCACTTCGCGCAGGCCAGGCGACGGGCTGCGCTGCGGGGTGCGCGGGGCTTGTAGGTTTTGCAAGTACACTCCTGGACTTGCTTGGCCTGGCGGCACAGGCGGCACAGGGCTAACAAACGTGATGCCCCGCGTGTGGACAGGGTGGGTCTGAAGGCGAAGAGATGGGCTGCTCGCCCTGCCATTGCCGTCCAGAGCAACGCCGCCAAAAACGATGGCACCGTTTGGCTGTCGGCACCCTGGGGCTACTTGCATCGCCTCTCTCCTTCTGCAAAGGCACGAAAGATACGAAAGCTCCGCCACATAGCAGGACCCTGTGGCCGAGGCCGCTCCGAACCGTACTGCGTACTGGAAGCTGCGTGGTCGTGGCTGTGCCTTTGTTGAACTCATTCTGCTTTTCTGCGAAACATCTTGAGGATTCTTGAAGCATGTCAACGTACAGGGCAAGTGGGCCGCATGAGCAACTATATCTTGTGCTGGTGTACATCCCATGCTCATATGGCTGCGGTTTGACGGCATCTCTTTTCTTCTTTTGTCTTCCTCTCATTTTCTGGCTCTCTCGCTCTCTCTGTCCCTCTCCCTCTGTCTCTCCCTCTCTCTTTTCCTTCCTTCCTTCCTTCCACCTCTCTCTCTCTCTCTCTCTCTCTTTCTTTCTTTCTTTCATCGGGCCTGAGGGCAGTCCAACATTATTGGGTGTGAAGGAATTGAATCGGGCTCACACAAACATGGTTGTGGTTTGGAGGTGACTAACTCAGCACGAAGAATCAGACAGCAAGCGTTGCACCATGCTCCGCCCAGCTCTCGACTCGTGCTGATCTTGGACTCCGGCAGAAACTCAACCCAGCTTCCGGCGCCGTGCCATCCTGAAGAGCGGGGGAGCGATCTCACTCTCACCGTGCAGTCTGGGGTTGTAGTCGTGATGCAAGGCCTCTCCAACTTACGGCTCAATCTGCCGGCGCCTCAAAATGGCCAGCGCGTGCCTTTGCATCTCCACTTACATACTCTACCCCAACCCCACTTTCATCTCGAAATGTCGCGCGATCCCAAAATCTCCCAACCCCACCGTCCTACACATGACAAGACTCTTGGCGGTCTCAAGATGTCTCAAGCTCAGAAGCGCCTCTTGGAAGCAGGCGCGGAGCTCGAACTCACAATTCGGAGCCTCGGGAACCGAAAGTTGGGTTTAAACTTTTTGGCGGTCTGCCAGGATTTGGAATACCGCAGATAGGCCAGTGAACCGGATCGGATCGGCACACGACTGGCCCGGAAGCAGCATATCGCAACTTCGTGCACGTCCCCAGATGCACAAAACACATGAAACAGAACACGCGAAAAACACCCCTGCGGATGAATTTCACGCACGCCGGATAGGCTCGAGCGGTTTCAGCAGAGATGTTCAGGGGGCTTCTGGAGGAACCCCAAAGAGTCGAACTCAAAATTTTGGATTGTGGCTACCGCAGCAGCTGGGACTGCGCGAGCTTCATCTGCGTCCGGACCCCCTGCAAAGTAACTCTTTTAAACTTCCTCACCGAAAAGCCAGTACAAAGCAAAGCCGCTATTTACTGGCGAGGAAGTTAGTTCGGATGTCGGAACCCAAGGTCTAAGGTCCCGGCTGGTTCGCCGTAGGGCGTGATGAGGCTCAGGTTGACGTTTACCGACTTCGTCTCCACCTCTCGAGGGCTCTTTTTTGCCAACACTCGTAGCATCGCAGAAATGAGCCACATACGTCTGAGACAACGAGCTCTCCCGCAGCAGCGCGCGGGGGCTTTTCCTCCACCCAAACTCTACCCAGTGGTCTAACTTAGCAGCGCAGCTGGCGAACCTGGTGCATTCAAACCTGGTTCGGAGGCGCGAGCGCGCAGACGCAACAGGCCCACCCTCCCCAGAGGCGACTCGGCGTCCATGGTTGGCACGGTTGTTTGCCTGGTTTTAGCTCACGAAGGACATCCTGTCCCAGTACGGACTCCAAAACAGCACCAGTTCTGCTGGGAGGGTTGGGGTTTCGGTTCCTGGTGTCCTCCTCAAGGAAACCTTGCGCAGGTCTCTGAGGATCAGCAGAAGGTGCGCAGGGGATGTGGTTAAGGTCTCACAACACCACTGCGTGCGTGGCGGACCCCGGCACGCAGGGGCCTCTACAATCTTTTCGTTTGGCAGGGCAGATGTCGCAAACCACTGGCGAGCCCCAGCGCGCGGAAGCCAGGTGGCGTCCGTGTCGACCAGGTCTGGGTCCGCAGCGGCATTGTTCAACTGCTGGGGCGCGCTCTTCGCACTTCGCATCTGACATTGCACGACAAGAACTCTGGCCTCTAAACACGCTTCGGGCCTCGAACTAGACGCAGAACTCTCACAGCCAGAGAACTACTGTTATGCAATGCATGCGCTACCCAACATTCTGAAACCCCAAACAGCGCACCTCAAACCCGTGCCGAGATTGCCAGCTGCAACTTGCCTTCTTCCCATAAAGGAAAACCCCACAAATTGCCTCAAACCACTGCCTCAAATGGCCAAATCCCTTGGCCGCATCTGAGCCTGGTAGTTCTTTGGCTCATACTGGCCCATCTCTCCCACCTCGCCAACATGCGCGGCAGCCCGAGCCCGACATAGTCACATAGAATCCTAGGCCCCTAGGCGCCTCTGGCCAAATTCGCTCGACTTTGATCCTATGGTCCTAGCAGCATGGGCCTGAACATGTCGGATCAAGCATCGTCAGACATTCTCCTGGCAAACCCTTTGCCAGCTGCCACGCCGACCATTTCAACGACAGGGGGCGCGGATCATCCCAGAATATCCCAGAATGTTTCGACTCGTCTGGAATATCTGCGATGATGAAAGCATCAATCAAAGCTGACTGGATTGCCTCCTCATAACGCGATCGTCGTCAACTTACTAATCTTTCTTGGGACCGAAGTAGTCTAGCCCTTGGGCCTTAAAGATCAAGTCCTGAACCTGTCTGGCTTTCAGGGCTGCCGCCTGCATTTCGAACTGCAAAGGTACCTGGTGTGACGAGGTGTCTTCGTTGCATTCCAAACGTCGAACAAAACTTGCAGTCTTCAAACAAGTGCTTGCGAGAGGGCCCATGGTCAATCTTTGGTTGAAGCTGTGCCAACATGACTTCCGGAGCTTGCAGGTCAAAAGCTGCCGCATTTCAGAGTCAAGGCGGAACTCAAATACACATATGTATATGCTCACGTATATATGCGTGTGCGTTGCTATATGGTGCGCCGAAAGTCCTAAACCCCAAATGCCACACTGGGACGGCCCACATACGGAGACGTCCCCTCAGGTTCCAGGAAGAAGACGAGCTTCCCAGGAGGCAGCTCCTGGGAGCTGACAAGGCTTGAGGGAACGCTCTAGACAGATCCATGTGATGGTTTTGGTGGCATTGCAATTGCGAGCCTCTTTCCACTCCAATTCGAATGCGTGAAAATACGCGGCCCCCGGTGCTCGAAACTCTGGACATGTCTGCGCTTGAAACAGCGGGGCCCAGGCAACGCTTGCCACCCCTTTGCTCGAGGTGATGCCGCTAGCGAGCGGCTTCTGCAAGCGCTTGCGCCCAGACCTTGGGAACTGGCAGTTGCAAGCAGGGTTTCAGGGCCCTGGTCTTTGGACAGCAGCAAAATCAGCTTGTGGAGGAAGAGCAGTCTGCCGCGCGCGTTTGTGGCACTGCTGCACCCCGACCCAACTCCATCACACACTTGCCTCCAAGATATTTCGCAGTGGGTCTGGATGCTAATCCCAAGTAGTGGTACTTGGTGGATCTTCTGCAGACCGGCAGCGAAGGCTTCTGATGAAAACTAGTTGTAATTGCCCCTGAGCTGCTGGTGTTGGCCGGCAGGACAGGTGATTCTGACTGGCAGAGGATGGGGGCATTCCGGTTTATTGCTGAGGCCTGGGACCAACGACTGTCTTGCCCAACATGCGCTGAACAGATGCAATCGCTGCGAAGTAGGTTGTGGTGAGGACCGGTGCGAATTAACGGCTGGGTGCCTTTCTCCGAGGTGGGCAGATGCTCTGAAAACTATCCTGGGTCATCTTCGCCCCATCTTGCTGCATAGCAGCTGCACGCTTACCTCAAACCCCAGGGCCTCACGTGGCCTAACGCACTTAACCTTGAACTGATCTGAACCAAATCCCATTTGCCCTTTGTAATCAGTGGCGTCCAGGGTCCCGGGCCTCACAAAGAAAGGGCAGCCCCTGCGCGTCAAGGCTCATGAGGGGAAAAAAAGTAGGGTTTAGGGTCGGGGGGGGGGGGTGCTCGCTTGTTCGCCGGGATGGTCAGCAAACCGACAAAGTATATTTGCAGCTCGACAGGTCCAGAAACTTTGTTGGCGTGAAGGACTTGCCATGGCCTACCCTCCTGGGCACTGGCTTCGGACCGGCATTCATGCACACTGCGCAAGCTAGAAGTCTTTGCGGATACGCATAGCTTCAAGCATTCCTTGGTAGCCTGCACTCAAGCCAAGAGTTTACTCACTCCTCCTTACTGGCGACAAGTCTTGTGGGTTTGGAGCATCCAGACGGCCAGGAACGCCGCATAAATACTTCAGAAGATGGTTTCCCCTACAACTACACATCTCAGACGCAAGCCCGAAGAGCTGGCCTTGCGTCCGGGAGCCCGAAGCAAATATTTAAAACCCTAGTTCCGCGTCCCTGGAGAACATCCCCACAAAAGAAACTTGAGGCAGAGGCTCTCCATCTGCATCACTACTCTCAAAAACCTGCACCAGAAACCAGTCTAAGACCGGAATCTCCCTGAAATACCCTGCACCGTTCTGACCATTGAGAAGCCTAGCTGGCTCATGGAAGCGTGTGCGCAGAGTGATCTCGCACCTCAGTCTCAAGCCAAGCGCTTGAGGTCCTAAAGCCTTATGGCGAACAGCACTCTAGAATTCTAGAATGTGTTGGCAATCATGTCAAAGTTACAAGGGAAGGGACTCTGGACCCCAGGGCAATCTCAGCATGGTTCCACGTTTTGGGATCTTCGTAATGGGTACCACGGAAGGCGTAGGAATTGTTCACCAAGATTTCAAGAACCAAATCAACACCTCTACACGGAATCAGGCTCCGCCCGATCGAGCTTGGTCACTTTTCAACCTCCACGTACTTCCAAAGTCACCAGAGAGCTTGGACTTGGCATGGAAAAGCTCTTCTGCATGAGAAGTCGCAATGCCGAGCTCCAGGCAGGAATCGGCAGCGTTTGACACAAATCCGGAAGCTCTGGTGTGCGTCAATGTCTAAGACCTGGCATGCTTCGCCCGCAAAACCTGATTTGCTGCTAACCGCAAGACGTGAATCAGGCTCAGCGGCAACCGCTGTTTCTTTCTTTCTTTTTTTCCTTCCTTCGTTCTTTCCTTCCTTCGTTCTTTCTTTCGTTCGTTCTTTCTCTTCTTTTTCTTTCCTGCGGGCACAGGGCCCTCGGCCTTCCGGAAGGCTTTGAGGGCCAAAGTAGGCCGGATGAAGAAAAGGATAAGTTCAAGTTTTTCCCGCATTTTTCTTCAGATCTGAGCAGCACCCCGAGTGTGAATGAAAAACTGAAGAAACTTATGGACTTGATGAAGATGGCAGAAACGTTTGGTGTCAGCTTGCATTGATTTCGTGTGGCACGTCAAGCCCTTCCGTGAGGATGACGCATGCCCTGTCCTCGATGGCGTTGCCATCTCTGGCTGCTCCGTCAGAGCTGTGCTGGTGCCGCTGGTTTTCCCGCGGCATCCTTGAAGTCTGCCAGGTTACCGTGGATGCGCACAGGCATGTACGTGTGCCAAGACTGTGACGTTTCCCTATGCACCCTCAAGATTTAAGCAGCTTTGAATTGCAACGTTCTGGCAATTTGCAAACACACACACACACACACACACAGACACACAGACACACAGACACACAGACGGACGAACACACAGACACACGGACGGACGGACAGACAGACAGACCCCTTACATTCTCGGAAGGATGCCTGCCCACATATGGCCACAACATTGCCAATGCCCAGCTTACTGTATTTGCTTTTGGGGCTTTACGAAATTAGGATGAATCTTTTGTAGTGCTTCTGGCATTGGCATTCTCCTGTCCTTGGCTTGTAGGTTGTGTGTGTGTGTGTGTGTGTGTGTGTGTGTGTGTGTGTGTCGGCCATCTCGGTGTGCCAGCCTCCACCGTTGTGTTTTGTGTGTTCCGCCCCTGCCCACCCTGCGAAAGTGAGGGGGCTGGAGGGGGGTGATAAGATTTCTGGTTCCGGCCCTCCCCACCAAACCACCTGGGCCCTAACATAACCGTTCTGTCGGCACAAAAACTGAACCGGCTGAGAGCGTTTGCAAAAGCTTACTTAATTGGACCCTTTTGTGTGCCATGCTGCTGCTGGTTCTTGAAATCTACCTAAACCTTCGTGGTTATATTCTTTTATTGGGGCTTCTTGCGTTCCCTTAAAGCCCTAATAAAACAATGTGAAGTGCGAGGCCATTAGTTCGCGAGCTCACGGTACCTCATGGTGTGTTCTCCCTGATATTGAATTGGGTTTTGCAATGCGTTTAACGCACCAAAACCCACTTCAGTGCTGTTTCCCGGGGTTGGGTCCTCAGTGGCTTGGAAACACTGGCCGGGTCAAGTTATTAAGGAGGTGAGTAAACAAAGTGAATGTGTTTACTGGGCAGAAAACGTACCAAGTGAACGGGAAATGATTCCAAGATCTGGGATTCGCGTGCGCCAACTAAACCCATACTGCTGCATCCACCCCCCGGCTCCCTAAACCCAATCTCATGAACCAAGCATGCACCTCGAGATCGTGAGACAGCGGCTCGACAGGCAGGGATGAGGAGTCCTGCGAGTGGCAGAGTGCTTTGCTCCAAGCCAGGGGTGTTCTGCTGCAGATTTGGGACGTTGGTGCCTTGCCTCCGTGCCACCATACGAGGCGATGTGCCGGCCAACGCCCAGCCGACCCTTCACGCGCCCGTGGCCCTGCCATGGAGGATTCCCAGAGAGGCTTCTACCCTCCTCAGGGGGCTGAATCATGGTCATCTCTCAACATTCTACTCACCCAAAAAGTTTCGCGGAATGCGCGAGGGGGGTGGGGGGTGGCCGCCTCATGTCCAAGAAAAAAACACCATAAAGGGATGCAAAAGTAATATATTCGCATCTACAGCCCATATTTACCTGGGAGACGTTCGCTCTTCACAACAATATAGCGTGAAGGTATTCTATAAGAGATCTCAGCAGTTGAGGCGTAGCATATGTCCAATCCTTCGAACTCGAATATGGCCTTGGTGAGGAGCTCCAGAGGCACTGACCCCAAGCTCTGCTTGCGCCGCGTGAGCCTGGCAGCGCAGGCTCTGGGCACTTCCTTTGGGCAGGGGATGGCAGGGGCTTTCGACTTGCACTCTTGCACACCTCTTTGCGCGCAGCAATGAAGTTCACCCAGCCGCGAACTCCCTAGAGCAAGAACTGAGAGGGATGCAGGATGATTCAGGGCTTAGGGGATTTGCCTACCAGTAGGCTGCATGTTTTGCTTTGGAAAATGCAAGGCCTTGGGTGGTAGGGATTCATCAGCATTGGCGTTTGACAGCTGGCTCTCATGACATGCTTCCTGGACCAACCCTGCCAATCCTCGAAAAATCTTTTTGCCTTGAACCCTGTGCTCTGACCAAGCCGGGGCCCACCTCAGCGGAAAGTTGCGATAAGGCCTGCGCGGGCTCAAGGACTGTGCCGCATGAGAAGTCATAAGGGTGAAACCTTTTGTTTTGGCTGACTTTCATTGTGACTGAGGAAGAAGAACCCCTGGCAATCTTCGATGTTACGGTGCGCACACAGCCTGAGCTGATACCCCGGCTCAGTTGGTGAAACTCTGGGCCGTGAGGAGGCGATACGGGCCATACACAAGAGGCCAGAGTGTGCCTGTCCAGGTGATCCACGACCTCAAAGCTGCAGACCTTCTTCATCTTCGCCACGAGGACGAACTGCAAGACAGCGCTGGGGGGAGCTTTACCAGCTGATGGTCTAAGCGGCAAGATGCGGCAAGCATGCCAGCTTTAGCCATCACAAGGGTTTTCAGAGGCCTTTTTACGCTCCAAGGGATCCTGAGCCAAAGATGTCACACCCCAACCACAACCCGTAAGGCGCACCGTGTACCCTGCGTCTAGAGCCTAGTTGGACTCAGCTGGCAACATGCAGGTGGCTTCCGAGCAGCTTTTTGCAGGCTTCTCAGACAAGTCAGCTGCTGAGGTTTCAGAACCCTTGAAGCTCCCAAAGCACTCGAAAAGCCACACTGAAAGCAGTTTGTCAGATTGCGTGCCTGAAGTGGTCGGAACAAGGATGGCACCTCGATTTCGCCAGGATCCAGCCTCAGGATAGTGCTTTTCAACTCCTTAACTACTTCTCAATTTTCCCTCAGTTTTCCGGCGTTGCCTCAGTTGTTTTAAAGAGGGTTTCGGCTCAAGGTAGTAGCCCCGAGTGCCAGCACCACTTGCTCTCACTCGGCCACCTCTCAAAGAACACAAGGAACAGCGCACTGGCGGAGACCATCGATGGCCACGATGGCTCTGAGGAAGGCACCGATCGTAGTAGCTCCCTTCTTCGCATACCAAGCTGAACTTCGCGGGAAAAAGGACCTTCAGCAGCACTTTGAAGATTGGAGGTGGGTGGAGTTAACAGCCCCCCCCGTTTTCTCCCCCACACCACTAACCTAGACTCTCCACCAAGGCCCCAGCAGTATGCGGTATACTCTAGTCTAGGCACCCGGCACCATTATACCCACCACACTTTAAGATGCCCGGCCCCCCCCACCAGCTGCTTGTCCCTTGCAAACCTTTGTCCGAACCGGTCAATCCAAGAACCAGCCGACCTAGCGACCGCTTGCCGTCACTCACACTTTGCTGCGATCTTGCAGCGCGGCAGCTCACGCAACCCCAAGTCAACTACGGCTTTGCAGAACATCTGCAGACGCCGGAAGATTCTGGTATTTAAGGACTGCGTAGAGGCGTATAACCCGTAATGATCGCCGTAATGTCCAGAAGCGGGCCTGCGTCGCCCGGCCCTCTCCATCCGTACTGCAGCGATGCTCCTGGGAAGTTTCTCGCTCTAGGGCGTCCTATCTAAACAGTCTGAGCATGCCAAAAGAAACTGAACCGATTCCAGGTTTAGAGCGCATTTCAGGGCAGACTTGGAAGGTTCGGGATTTGGGGTTGGGAGGCTTGGAGCGGCGCCGTGCCGGTGCTGTGGATCACCTTGAAAATCAAGTTCTCCAAAGGGAACAACCTCACGTCAGCATGGGGAGAGCAGGTGGCACTTGTAAGACTTGAAGGACCCAAAGATCAAGACCCGTAGAGCTGCGAGGTGTGAGAGTGCATCAAGCATCGTCGGCCTCTAAACCCGGCACAGGCCCTTGGGCGGGACGCCGTTGGCAAGCTGAAACAGCCATACGGGGGCGCGTCCACCCCAAAAACCAAGAACTGCAACCTCCCAAGCCCCATCTGAATGACACCCACAGACTGATAGCTGTGGCAATGGTAAAGAACGATTGCAAAAGAAAGACACAGACAGACAGAGAGACAGAGAGAGAGAGAGCTACACACAGAGAGTGTCTGCTAGAATGATTTTGGGGTAGGCAATCTGGTCACCAGAAACACCGTGACAGTTCCAAAGCGTTCCGGGGCTTGAGCGGGTCGCCGGCGGCTCCTCACTGCAGGGGTTCGGGCTCACAGGGTTATGGGATCTTGTACAGCGGAGCCAAAGTTGTGAACTCAGGAAGCTGTCACGTAAACGAGAACTTCCTGCTGTGAAGCCCTTGGTCATGCTGTGCGTTAGCTTGACTCAGCACGCGCGTTTGACCCGGAATTTGGTCCACGCCGACCTTCGGCAGTGATGGGCGTGGCTCCTGGCCGAATATCTTAAGAAGCGCCGCAAAGCGTGGGCTTTCCGCATGAACCCAGTTGCAATGCTGAGGGGCGGGGGGGGGGGGTCAGGCTTCTTGGATTTCAGGCTTAGAGATGATTAAGGCTAAATGTGGCGGCTTTTGGCTTGTTTGTTGCTCAGCAAGCTGGGATGTTGAAGTGGAGCTGGCTTATGCGCCCGGCAATCTCTTGCGAGAAAATGAGGCAAAACCTGGTTCATCAACATGGAATTGACCTGCGTGAGACATCCACAAGCTCTATCAATCCCCAAGTGGGCCTACCCCTGGCGGCAGCTCTGTGCAAAGCCTCAGTCGGGATGGATTTGAGGTCATTGGTTTGCAAAATGGGGGGCTGACAAACCTGAATTCCTCTAGGAAGATTTTGGATGCTTGTGGTAGGCTGGGTTTCGCCTTCGCAGAGCAAGTGAGGCCAACCGAGAACACACAGGAGAACATATGGCTCAGGAACGCATGTCTCTCACCACTTTTGTTCGACCCTTCTTTGATCGCCCCGGTGTGTGACGACAGCGTTCCTCAGCGCGAGGCACACGGAAGCTCACAGGAATGCGAGTGAACTCCTGTGCTCGGCGCATGTCTAATGTAGGGTGGGTTGATTGAAGCTTCATGGTCCCCTGAAAGAGGATATTTATGAAATCAGTGAACTCAACAACTGGTTTCAATACCGTTGAAATTCGAATCAAAGCAATGATACGTGTACCTCCCAAATTCGCAACAATCTATCGCTATGACAGAACTGTTTCTCAAATTTTCTTGGGATTCCTTTATGGCATGATACTGTTTTTCAAAGCAAGCTTGCCAGGCTTTCCTCACCGATTCGCAAACACAATCGGGTTTGGAACAGGTCTGCTGAAGGCAGAATATGACAAAACCGAGGTGGGAGTAGGGGGGGGGGGGGGGGGTGGGGGGGCCCTTCACATGAAATAAAACAGCGGGGGGCTTGAGAGCGGGGCACAGCCCCCTCCCCCCTGCCTCCTCCCCCCATTTGCAATTTGCAAACACATTACTCGCGTGCAGGTTCGAATCTTTTCATGTTGCCGTTCTCTCTTTATTTATTGTTCTTAGCTTTCCTTTTCCTTTCCTTTCCTTCCCTTTCCTTGGCCTTTCCTTTCCTTTCGTTTTCCTTCCTTTCCTTTCCTTGCCGTATTTTCCCGATTATTTTCTTTCTTTTCTGTCTGTCCTTTCCTTTTTTTCTGTTCTTCTTGCTGTTCGGGGGATGCGCTGTGTTGTGCGATGGAAACTGGAGCAGGGCTGGTGGCTGATCTCTTGTACCAAAGTTGTGGACAACAAGCGTGCGTTGACCAGTCCCAATGTTGACCAGCCCCCCGATGCCTTTCGCACCGACGTTGTGGACAACAAGCGTGCGTTGACCAGTCCCAATGTTGACCAGCCCCCCAATGCCTTTCGCACCGACGTTGTGGACAACAAGCGTGCGTTGACCAGGCCCAATGTCGACCAGCACCCCACCAATGCCTTTCCCACCGACGTTGTGGACAACAAGCGTGCGTTGACCAGTCCCAATGTTGACCAGCCCCCAACGCCTTTCGCACCGACGTTGTGGACAACAAGCGTGCGTTGACCAGTCCCAATGTTGACCAGCCCCCCAATGCCTTTCGCAGCGACAACAAGCGTGCGTTGACCAGTCCCAATGTTGACCAGCCCCCCAACAATGCCTTTCCCAATGTTGACCTGTCGCACCGACGTTGTGGATAACAGGCGTGCGTTGACCAGTCCCAATGTTGACCAGCCCCCCAATGCCTTCGCACCCGACGTTGTGGACAACAAGCGTGCGTTGACCAGTCCCAATGTTGACCAGCCCCCCAATGCCTTTCGCACCGACGTTGTGGACAACAAGAGTGCGCTGACCAGTCCCAATGTTGACCAGCCCCTCAATGCCTTTCGCACCGACGTTGTGGATAACAAGCGTGCGTTGACCATTCCCAATGTTGACCAGCCCCCCAATGCCTTTCGCACCGACGTTGTGGACAACAAGCGTGCGTTGACCAGTCCCAATGTTGACCAGGCCCCCAATGCCTTTCGCACCGATGTTGTGGACAGCAAGCGTGCGTTGACCAGTCCCAATGTTGTCCAGCCCCCCAACAATGCCTTTCCCAATGTTGACCTTTCGCACCGACGCTGTGGACAACAAGCGTGCGTTGACCAGTCCCAATGTTGACCAGCCACCCAATTCCTTTCGCACCGATGTTGTGGACAACGAGCGTGCGTTGACCAGTCCAAATGTTGACCAGCCCCCCAATGCCTTTCGCACCGACGTTGTGGACAACAAGAGTGCGTTGACCAGTCCCAGTGTTGACCAGCCCCCCAATTCCTTTCGCACCGACGTTGTGGACAACAAGCATGCGTTGACCAGTCCCAATGTTGACCAGCCCCCCCAATGCCTTTCGCACCGACGTTGTGGACAACAAGCGTGCGTTGACCAGTCCCAATGTTGACCAGCCCCCCAATGCCTTTCGCACCGACGTTGAGGACAACAAGCGTGCGTTGACCAGTCCCAATGTTGACCAGCCCCCCCAATGCCTTTCGCACCGACGTTGTGGACAACAAGAGTATGGACAACAAGAGTGCGTTGACCAGTCCCAATGTTGACCAGCCCCCCAATGCCTTTCGCACCGACGTTGAGGACAACAAGCGTGCGTTGACCAGTCCCAATGTTGACCAGCCCCCCAATTCCTTTCGCACCGATGTTGTGGACAACAAGAGTGCGTTGACCAGTCCCAATGTTGACCAGCCCCGCAATGCCTTTCGCACCGACGTTGTGGACAGCAACCGTGCGTTGACCAGTCCCAATGTTGACCAGCCCCCCAATGCCTTTCGCACCGACGTTGTGGACAGCAACCGTGCGTTGACCAGTCCCAAAGTTGACCAGCCCCCCACCCCAGATATCCCTTTCGCACCGGCACGTTTTGGACAACACGTGCGTTGACCAGTCCCAATGTTGACCAGCCCCCCAATTCCTTTCGCACCGACGTTGTGGACAACAAGCGTGCGTTGACCAGTCCCAATGTTGACCAGCCCCCCAATTCCTTTCGCACCGACGTTGTGGACAACAAGAGTGCGTTGACCAGTCCCAATGTTGACCAGCCCCCCAATGCCTTTCGCACCGACGTTGAGGACTACAAGCGTGCGTTGACCAGTCCCAATGTTGACCAGCCCCCCAATTCCTTTCGCACCGACGTTGTGGACAACAAGCGTGCGTTGACCAGTCCCAATGTTGACCAGCCCCGCAATGCCTTTCGCACCGACGTTGTGGACAGCAACCGTGCGTTGACCAGTCCCAATGTTGACCAGCCCCCCAATGCCTTTCGCACCGACGTTGTGGACAGCAACCGTGCGTTGACCAGTCCCAATGTTGACCAGCCCCCCCAATGCCTTTCGCACCGACGTTGTGGACAGCAACCGTGCGTTGACCAGTCCCAATGTTGACCAGCCCCCCGATTCCTTTCGCACCGACGTTGTGGACAACAAGCGTGCGTTGACCAGTCCCAATGTTGACCAGCCCCCCAATGCCTTTCGCACCGACGTTGTGGACAACAAGAGTGCGTTGACCAGTCCCAATGTTGACCAGCCCCCCAATGCCTTTCGCACCGACGTTGAGGACAACAAGCGTGCGTTGACCAGTCCCAATGTTGACCAGCCCCCCAAGCGTGCGTTGACCAGTCCCAATGTTGACCAGCCCCGCAATGCCTTTCGCACCGACGTTGTGGACAGCAACCGTGCGTTGACCAGTCCCAATGTTGACCAGCCCCCCAATGCTTTTCGCACCGACGTTGTGGACAGCAACCGTGCGTTGACCAGTCCCAATGTTGACCAGCCCCCCAATGCCTTTCGCACCGACATTGTGGACAGCGACCGTGCGTTGACCAGTCCCAATGTTGACCAGCCCCCCAATTCCTTTCGCACCGACGTTGTGGACAACAAGCGTGCGTTGACCAGTCCCAAAGCTGGCCAGCCCCTCAAGGCCTTTTTAAAATGCTCAAAAATCACGGAAAGTTCCAAGAGCGGCCTTCAAGGGAATTCCGTGAAGGCCCAAATGGCAAAAAATCACAGAAATGCGCCATTTCAAGTTTGAAAACATCACAAAGCCACTGAAAATCCCTATGTTTTGGCCTCAAGCGAAACTACTCAAGGCCAAAAATGGTCAACAATTCGTGTAAATGATGAAGGGAATTCTTTGATGGCCAAAATGGTTAAACATTGAGAGTTTGAAAAAATCAGAATACCACTAAAAAATCCCTACGTTTGGCTATAAGGGAAAACATGAAAAGGCCAGGAATGGTCAAAAGTCGTGAAAATGATTCATTTGAGGGTTGAGCTCCAAACTTCAAAAAACCCTCAACAGAACGACCCAACAGCCTGAAGGCCCAAAGCTAACCGCATCAATGCAATCGGATTCCCGTGACTTACAGTGACTTGCAGATCATCCCAAAGTCATGGCCTGCAGCTGCACGTAGAGCTCGTCGGCTTTGGGCCATTTCCTCCCCATATGAATCTTGCTGGGGGAAGGGAAGCTCAAGGGCTTTGGAGGGCTTTGGGGGGTTTTGCAGACTTTTGGAAGGCTTTGGGGTCCCTGAGTGCTTGTGTACATGTGCAGATGCACAGTGCACCTGCCTTAGGGCAGGCTTGCTAGATCTTCCCTTGCCAAGATCGAAAATCTTGGAGAAAAAAGGCAAGGTTCAGCCGATAGTAAACCCCAAGACTACCATCCGACAATGGCAAACCTGGACGTTCTGGCTATCCACACCCCCACCGCAAAATCCTGAAGTCTAAATGCACAACTTGGCCGGGGTCGCTTGCAGGCCACTTTGGAGAAAAGTGTCTTGGCCCCCTGGGCGCAGGCCTCCTGCAGTCTACAATTCGAGCCGCTTGGGATACAGATTCGAGCTCTTGTAAGATGGCAACGATGGCCATCCCAATCTAGGGGCTGTGTGGTTCTGATAGTTCTCACGACTTGCGCTCTCGTGCCGTTTGGTCTCACTTGCAGCATGAGACACCCCAAAATGGCTAAGGCTAAGGACGGAGGCGTTGAACGACGGACGCCCTCACGACCCCTCAACGGTGAAATGGAGACCACCCACGCACAGGGGACGCGCCAAGCAGGTGTTGGCACGCGGCGTGAACCGAAGCCACTACTTCCGTAGTGCCATCCAAGGCGGATCACCAGCATGGTCGTCATGATAGGAATGCCGGCAGTGGCGGTTGCCGCTGAGCTGCGGCGGTGATGTGGTCTGTGTGGTACGGCATGTTGGGAGGCCTACAAATCTCATATAAAACCTCTAGGCATCCTGCAAACCTTTGATTGGTTTCAAAGGGATCCTTCGAGAAATCCACAACAGGGCACTCGAGCTTTGGGGACCTCCGAGGCTTCCGTCCACGTCACTTGCAGGGGACATCCGCGGGGGGCATTCCCTGCGTAGTACCTCTCACTAGTCGGCAGCCAAAACCGAACTATGATGCACTCTGGGAGTCCCTTGGGCTCCTCCCCAAAAACTGCGGAACCGTGACGAGGATGGTGCCTTAACTTGGAATGCAAAATGCTTGCGACACGGGAGTTTCTTGAAGCTTCGCAGAGGGTTCCGACCGGTGGGTTTCAAAAGTGCACCACACTTCACGGCTAAGCACCAAACGGCTATGTTCGTTGGCAGCAGGCTCTTTTCCTCTCACGCGTGCCTGACTCACACCTTCAGTTTTGTTCTCCAATTCGCTTCCACGAAGATTTGGACACGTGATCCACCGAGTGATCACAATCAGGAGCCAAAATGGAATCCCAATAATGATGCATAAGCCTACCAACTCAACGTAGGGCAAGTTTTAGATCTAGCCACATACAGGTCTTGGACAGTTTAGGCTCCTGCTGAAGGTGTACGCTCGGCAAACATGCAAAGGCCACCTGTCTTTTGGACAAGCTCCTCACCTCACTCGCCACCATTAACTACCATTCGAACCTGGAGGGCTGGCGCCTGCGGCCTTTGGTCGCAAGCTCGACCCTGCAGGGGCCTTCTCGCCAACAAGCAAAGAGCGCCTGAAAAACAGGGGACTTGGATGTTGTGCCTGGATTTGAAACGTAGGCTAAAAGGGTTGAAAAGGGTCGAAACATGCCTCTTTGAAGAAGGGTCGTCGAAGCAATCCCAGTCCCGCAGGGCGAGGAGCCACGACTTACTTTACCTTCTCTAGACTTCATCATGCTTCCTATGGTTGAGCTGGGCTGAGCGTGCGGACAGAAGTGCTCTCAGGGCTGTGGCTTCCATCTCATGGAATCCAGGGCGGCCCTCACCTTATGCGCATACGGTAAGGCTGTTGACGGGTGCAAAGACGTCTTGTGCATCTCAACCTGCAACTCACTTTATCTAGAAAGGCTTTACAGATTACAACTCAGTCTCCTTGTGAAGCAGCTAAACCATGAAGCCGCTTGGGTCCTTTCGCCGCTTTCTCTTCCTTCCTTGCTTCCGGCGTACGTAACCTCTTTCGGGAGGGAGTGGGGGAAAAGTACATGAGCCGGTTTCCTCATGCACCAGGCGAAACCAGGTCAGGGCAAAAACGTGCAACCAAGGGCCGCTTGTGGGTTTACACGCCTTGGCTTTCCTAATTGGGTTGGCGTGGGTCTGTGCAAAGGTTGCTTGCCGGGGCTTGTCTGCTGCGGTGTTGTATGAAACATTATGGAATGGTTCAGGGTGTAACTGGCTTGTCCTGGTTGGCTCTGCTACTCGGTACCGCTGCTGTTGCTTGGCTAGCGTCTCTCTCCTGCTTGGGAGGTTGCTCTTGCTTGTGGTGCCTGGCATCTCCTCTTCCCTTGCTTCTTTACTGCTTGGGAGGCTGCGCTTGCCCGTGCCTGTAGTGGCAGCATGTCAAAGCACTACAAAGGCGAGAGGCCAACGTGAGGTGTGAATGGAGAAACTTGGTACGGTCAAACTTGTCTCTCTGCTGTGTAGATTGTTGTTTTTCCTTTATTTGTCTCTCTCTCTCTCTCTCTCTCTCTCTCTCTCTGTCGCGGGGGGAGCAGATGTCGCTTAAGATGGCTGGCCAAACGGTCTGCAGTCTAGGGGGGTCTCTATAGGAGCCGCGAGGCTCCAAGGTGCCGGCCATGAAGGCGGTACAGTTTTGACGGGCAGCTTCCCTTCGCAAGACTTAAAGGGACAATTTTGCAGCGCGGTCGCCGTTGCCCAATCCGCCCCCAGGTGGCGGCCAGCAAGGCCCAAAGCTTGGGCCTTCGACACACGAGACTAGATGAGTTGAGCTGCTTGTGCTCGGCGACGCTGCGACGCTACGCTGCCTTCTTCTCACAGCCCTTATAGCGTGCCTCCAGCACCACCGCAGTGGCCACATTGAGGGAGACTTCTTGGATGCGGTCGCGCTTGGGCACCACCATGTCTAGAGCCATCTCCTGGACACCGTGATCTTTGGGGTCATTGCTTTGGGCTTTCTTCACAAGGGTTGCTTCTGTGGGGGTTGCGCTTTTGCTTGTGTTTGTGTGTGTGTGTGTGCCAGAACTCTTGTGCAGTCTCGCCAACATGTCTGCAACCTGAGCTCGCATCAACTCGCCCTCACATTGAAGGCCACACACCTTGCACTTAGAGCATTTTCAATCTTCCCTCCTCGTCGCCCAAGCTGTGGGCCACGGCTTCTGCGGCCGCAAGGAAAAGGCGCTCTGGGATGCTGCTTGCCTGGAAGCAATCTGTTTCAAGACGAGATTAGAAGGGTTGTTACATTGTTGAGAGCTGCCAGGCTGGCCTGGCAGCAGACTGCGCCAAAAGACATGCCCGGGAAGATGTAGACGTTGTTGACCTGGGGCTGCTTAGGCGGGGCCCAGAGCTGCTGAGACTGCTTGGCAAGCCCGCGTCGGTCCAAGGAGGCCCCCCAAACTCCCCCTCAAGAAATTGAGGATTAGCCCCCGCCTGCCCAGGTGCGAAGGTCTTCCCGTTCAGCTCCACCGGTGCAAACCAAGTTCCAGAACCAAAGATCACCTTTTGGGCAGCACAAGACGACTACGCGGAAGATAACTGGCTGACTACCTCCATATTGTACGACTTCTGGATCGGAAAACCTCTTGTTTTGTTGTCGATTGTGTGAACAAACAGTGCCGGTTTTCCTAGCTGCAGTGGCCAAAAGATCTCCACATGACGGGCTTAAAACGATTGCTCCCTGCCTCTGACTGCGCTGGATCAGCCGGCTTACGCCCCTTGAATGTTTCTACATCCCAGAGAGTGGCAGGCATAGCTAGTGGTTGCACGTTGCACCTGCTTGTCTCGGCGCGTTCTCAATCCATGCGGCACTGGTTCTGGTACAGGCTGTGATGGTGGCGTATGTGGAGTGCCCTGAGTGCCCTGGCCGGCCGATGTTCCACCATGTCCTTGCTAATCAAAAGCCTGGAAGTGCACATGGCGGCTCTGGCTCGGGCCTCGATCGGGTCCACTAGGCTCTCTTGAGTTGCTTTGTGCATGGGAGGAAGCACCAGATCGTGAAGATGATGTCCCATATGAGCTTAGAGCCCGCATGCTGCATGAGGTCTCGTTTTTTTTGGTACAGCTGTGGAAGCCTGAGACCGGCCAGCATCTTTGAGTCCGATGTTGAGGTATGCTGTGGCTGCCAAAGTCTTTAGGCCATCACGGATCTGGATGATTGGATGGTGCCAGGGTCGTGGGAAAAGTGGGCCTGGCCAAGAGCCAGGCCCCACATCTCTGGAGCGATACGTTCTTGCATGCAAGTGATTTCGCAGCGGGCAATCTCCGTTGAAAAGCTTCGAAGCTCAGCGGCTTCACAGTTGTCGTGTTTTGGTGACAGGCTTTGGCTGCTGCATGTCAGCCAAATCTCACGGCCGCGGCGGCTAGGCCACATCTCACTATGGAAGTGGATCGAAGTTGAAGGACCACCGGTGTCTACAAAAGGGCTTCTCGGCAAAGGTTGGACAGTTCGCAGGCCCCGCTCGGCCAGGGGCGCCTGAAACACTTTCAAAGTCGCAAGCTATGCAGTTTGCGCAATCGAAAATTTCAGGTTTCATGACGATGGCAGGAGGCACTTCAGTCGCAACATCCTGCAGCAAGGGTTCAGCCTAGCTGCTGGAGTGTGTCGTTCTTGTCGGAACAAGTCCGGATTGCAGCAACCCCCCCCCCCCCCGAACATACCATACAAGCAAAAGCTTCCTTGAGCCTCTACTTTCAAAAACCAAACCCCAAGAAACAGAGAATACTACGCCCTAGCTTCTTCCGCTGCAAATGAACTAGCCAGTTCGTATAACCATGCCAGCTCTCAAGGTCAGTTGCCCAGCCTTACCCTGGGACCATTCGTAAGCGTCATTGGCAGTGATCTCCGCCTCGCTCATGCAAATTGCCCTTTTGCAGCTCGACTTTCGGGGGTCCGCAAGGAAACGCACTCGGCAAAAACCAGCGAACATCAGAACGCTACACGAGCTCAACCAAAGTCAGTTTCCACCGAAACCAAAATCCAACCTTAGTTCGGGCAACTCTTCGGCCCGATCCCCTTTTGCATCCTGACCCCAGGAGCGGCTGCGAAAAAGAGCCCTTAACTTCCCGAACCTTGACCAAAAGCATCCAAGAGCATCCAAGAGCATCCAAGAGCATCCAAGAGCATCCAAGAGCATCCAAAAAACCCAAACCCAAAAGCGTCCCCAAAAGCACCCAAAAGCATCCATCAAAGCATCCGAGGCCTGTGTCTTGGGGTTGGACAAGGCGAAGATCACCGGGCGATCCGCGTTGGTCAGGAGGGCTTCCACCATCGGCTTGGTGAAGCAGTTCCTGGTCTCCGGATACTTCCGAGCTACAAGAAACGTTGAAGTTGCAACAACAACTCTGCTCCTACCCACAGCAGGGGCAGCTGTGAAGTTTCGGGTTTAGATATGAGTCAAACATACGCTCATTTAGGGATTCAGCTCTTGGTCGAGATCGGAATGAAATTCCGGCTGCCTTTGACTGGTTTGCTGAAGCAGGGAGTGTTTCCATGTATCTCCAGGAGAGGATGCCCTGCGTACAGGCTTGCCGTCCTGCTTGCATGGAGTTGCAAGAGCTCGACTGCGTTCACTTCAGCTCACTCCAAAAGCCGTCGGTTTTGCGACCCAGGCTCGGGGAAACGCCCACAGCCCCCACCACGCAGGTGGGCTTCACATGTTCCACGAGGGTGGCCAGGTTCTTTGAGTCGAAAGTGGGCTGGCCAACCTGGCGTCATGATCATTTGCAATCATGAGAAGAAGCATCCTACTGTACCAGAGCATGTGGGTCAGGTGTCACTGCTCTCTTGGTTCTAGAAGGATTGCCTCTGAGAGTCACTCCGTTTGCTTCACTTCAAGGTCCCCTTTCTAGTTGGCTTGGCTGGGCTTCGGTCAGACTGTTCTCTCGACCGACGCTGCTGTCGTGGCCCCTTGCCAAGTCCTGTTTGTGCTGCGCCTTCTGCCAATGCCTGTACCAACTGTTCTGCCGTGGCCATCATATGGCAACACAGAGAACTGAACGTTTTGTGCCCACGGTATTTGTGGATGTCGACATCGCCTGTGTGCCGCGTCTGTGTGCCAAGGAACAACAGCGGTAATAAGCCCAACATTTGCTTTCGAATTTAGCTGGTCCGTACCGAGAATCGATGTAGGCAGAAATTAGAACCCACAGGTGTACATCCTTAGAGCCTTAGATGTGTACACCCCTGCAATTCTCTCTTTTCTTTTGAGCCTTTCTTTCGACTTTAACGACTCTGCCTGGGCGAAGGCCTTTTGCTCCTCGTTGCGGAAGCTGCCCTCGCTCCCCTCCTCGGAGCGCCAGATCCTCAGTTCTTATTCTTAAAAGGCACGAAGAGAAAACCTTCCCAAAACCAAGAGCCTTCGCCTCCTTGTGGGCCCTAGAGAACCCTGCCAAAGCACTGCTAACCTACCGGATCCTACCGGGCCAACCCTGCACCACCAAAAAAGAAAGGGTTGCCTAAAAGGTCAGGCTCAGTCCGCGTGAGTTGGTCACGAAAATGGAGGACAGCGGCACCCCAGCTTCTTCCTGGGTTCTTGGGATGCTCTTGTAATCCCGGCAAGAAATCTCCGTCCAGGGATCTAAGTCAGATGGTTTCAAATTCTTCGGGTCCCTGAGATCTCAACAGCAAGCCCGCGTCCTCTTGACGCTCTCACGTAAATTATGGTGGAACTCTCGGCTTCGTGACTTGAGACCCTCACGACTCCCAACAGTCGCCGGAAAAGGCGCTGTGTATCACCCTGCATCGGGGTTTTGTCCTTTCTGTCCTTTGCAAAGCTGCCTTGTCTTCCTCTCTGCAGTCAGGTAAATGGGACATCTTGCCGCCGGCCGTCGAAACCCCAAAATCCACAGAAAACCCCAGAAGGAGAGAAGGAGAGAACATGAGAAAACTAAGCTTTGACCAGAGTTCGTGCAGGAGCCGCATGAGGCCGATGTTCGCAGAGCCCGCGCCATGGAACAGAAAGGTCTGCCTGCGCACAGAAAAGCTGTCAAGCGAATCCTGACATCCCGTCCTGGTTTTGCTAGGCATTGCTGAACCCACATGATGCACGTGATTCATCTTGTGGCCGAGCTGCTTCAGGAGCATAGCACGCAGGTTGCACTGCGGGTCGCGAAGCCTCACCACAGGAGGTTCAGCTGATCCTCCCCCCCCGAAACGCAAGGCACGAGAGTGCTGTCTCGCTCCTCTTTTCAAGGGGGCGGGGGGGGGAATTGTCTTCTTTCGGAAACGGATCGGAAACGGATCGGAAACGGACATGTATCGAAATGCAAGGCAGAATGCAACAGGGGCTGCCTCATGGACCCCAGGAGCGCAGCCAGTGCCACGGCGGCCGTCCCCTGGATGTCGTCATTGTAAGTCAGGAACTTCTCCCGGTACCTGGCCGACTGGGGCTCTTCTCGGACCTTTGTCTCCTTTGCCCCCCCTTTTTTTCACACCTCGCATGATGGCGTTTGGGTTCACAAGGAGATTTTTCGGATGTCCATGGACGATTCTTGAGAGCGAGCTTGGGAGAGGACCACGGCACCATGGGGCCGGGCGACCCCAACCCTGAAAGCAGGAATCAAAAAAGTGGAAGAAACCCTCCATTCCCAAACCCAGATCCAAGCCTCTAAGCCAATAATCCTTGCCACGGCACTCGGCTAGTAACGGAAAGGCGTCGTTGGAGTTGAAGTCCTCGAACTGCAGAAGACATCTCTGGCCGAAGAGCTCGGTCGCAGCCTTCATGAATTCCTCGATGACGTTATTCTCTCCGTAGTAGGCACTGTTCACGAGCGTTCCTTGTGCAGACTTGTGTGTTGTGCGGGCTTGCCTCATGCCCGTATACTGTGGGCTGTCTCGGATGACCAAGCGGTCGGTATTGCCTTCCGGCCCAGAGCAGCCTGCGTCGATGATCAGCGGAATGGTCTTTGAAGGGTCGAAGCCCGCGCAGACCGTGTAAAGATCCAGCTTTCCGATGGGGATGCCCATGCCCCAAGTACCCAAATCACCCAGCCCGAGGATTCTGCCGCCGTCCGAAAAAACGATGCAGTCACAAAGGTAATTGCCCTTTTCGTCTTTCTCTAACTCTGACTCTGCATATTCGCGCAGCACTTCTTTGAAGTGGCCACGGTCAGAGATGCATAGGTAGCAGCCGCGCCGGTAAAGCGGCATCTTTCCGAACTTTTGGCACGCCTCACCGACCGTGGGCGTGTACACGGCTGGCAAAAGCTTGGCTGGCTCTGCTGCAATGGTGGCATAGTAGAGGTCAGGGCTGCGGTCATACAGCTTGCCTGAGCCCGACAGCCCAACGTGGCTGCGTGTTCCACAGGTTTTGCGCCCTTTCTTGTGAAGCAAAAAAACGAAAAACATCTGCTTGTTGAGCACCGAGATGCGCATGTAGGCGTAGGTCCACAAGTCATGGCCGAGGGACGAAAGCGCATGGACCTCATTGATCGCCTCTGGCACCGTGGTGGCCTTGCACATGCCGGTTAACATACCTCCGCAGGGATTCCGGATTTCCAATCAACGAAATTGTTGTTCGGTGTTTCCCTTTTGCGATACATCTACAGATCAGATTGGAAAAGACCCAGCCCACATCCACGAACACGCCAACACGCCAACATGCCAACACACAAACGGACAAACACACGCAAACGCATACGCATACACATACACATACACAGACACACACACACACACCCACGCACGCACACATGCATGCATGCGTAATCATGCGTACATACATGCATGCATGCATGCATACATGCATGCATTCCAGGCGCACCTGCAAACAGGAGATTAAATCTCGTAACCAAGATGCCCGCAAGTTGCTTCAGGTCCTCATGGTGCGCGTTCCAAGCCTCGACGCTACTCACCTCAGCACGAAACTGTGTAGAAACAATTGCCCGAGCAGTCAGATCTCGCAACACAGCGACCCAGGACTGCCTCCCTGCCACAAACCTGAATGCCATGGAACAGGCTTCCAGCTCGGTCTAAGCTCTCAGTCTACCCCGCCCCTACCCTGCCGCCCCTGGCCCCTACCGCCCCTACCTGCGCGACTGACTTGCCAAGGGAGAGCGACCGCACGGGCCCACTGCGCAGAAGTGAGTCGCAGAAGCTGCTCACAGACACCACCTCACTTGCAAAAGTCGGGACATGTGGGGACAGTTCACACCGGGCGCTGCAAGCCATCCCATCCCACCCCGTCCGCCTCGTCCTTGCAAAAACTCTTGGCCTGCTGGAGGAGGAACTCCACCGAAGCCTCGTCCACACCGCAGCTATTCAGGACGGTGGCAAGCTCGTCACCTATGCTTGAAGCAAGTCTTCTAGAAGACTTGCACAGCCTAGATTCTACTAGATGCCAAGACTTTCAACATCCACAGCATCTACGAAGCAATAGTGATCCCGTTGTAGGCGAGCACATGAAGAACACAAGAGCACTCGCCACCAAGCGGCTCCGGATCGTGTCGCCTACTGTCTGCTTGAAGGCTTCCCGGACCTCCTGCATGGCTCCTCGGTGGCTCTTGACCCTCAAGTCGAAGCGTCCCGGAACCCCCTTTCCTACCACTTCCGTGATGGACGGCCTACGGGAAAACCCTTCAACCTTTTTCACTTCTTGACTTAGAATCACAAACGCGCACCGGCAGACCTCTCATTTCAGCACAGAGGGCACTCAGAAATTTCTGCAATTCCGAGGGGAGAGCAGTGCACAGCATGCACAACAGGTATGATCAGCCTCAGCCTCTCCACTAAGCGAATGGGGGCCGTGCAAGCGTCGTCGAGCTCCTCCTACTTGTCTTTTGAAACCCCTTTGCTCTGGAAAAGCTTCCACGCAATCTACCTGCAGTCTGGTTCTGCCACTCAACACTCTCGGGCTAGGAGTTTTGCTTCCTCGAGTCAAGGATCCAGACTCGTACCCACTGCGTACCCACTAAGGTTGTCGGGCTGTACGTCTAGAAGAGTTCCCCAACACGCCCCCAACATGGCCCCTTATGCCTGAACACCAACCCTCAACACATTCAGGGTACAACCTTCGGGGTCTAAAGTAAGGTACTTTGATGGTAGAAGCGTGTAGAAGCACACATTAAGTCTACAAGACCTGGCGTTTCCTAGCACGATACCGCCATAAGTCGACTGACAGCTACCGCTCTACCACTCGGACCTACAATGTTGCCAGCATGGGCGGGTGGCGAGTTCCGCGAGTCAGCTACGGCCAGTTCCGCCTTCGAGCCACCACGCTACGGGGCATTGCAGAGTACAGAAGCTGAACTCCAAACTCTAAGCCTGTGAAGCCTCGATCTCGAAAACCCCAGACGAATTCGAAGTTCTTGCTGCCTGCTTTCAATTATCTGGGGTCGACACTTTTCGCGCATGACGCGCACCTCCAACGCGTAGAGCGTGGGCACCTCTACCAGCACCACCTGCGGGGTGTGTGTTGAAAGCTTCTTCCACTTTCCTCCTGTTGCTGCTGGCGCTTGAAGGCAGTAGATCTTCGGCTTGGGTTTAGGATGTCTAGGATGCTTCGGCGATGCCACAAAACTCGCAGCCCCTCTGCTCGGTTCTTTTGCTGACAACTACATGCACAGAAAATGACAAACCTGCCTCAATGCATCCTTCAAAGAAGGAGTCGAGGTCTTCCTGGTGGAAGGACATTCCAAGGTTGGAAAGGCGGAACAGATCTCGTAGGTCGCGCACGCAAATTGCGCATGTGACACGGGCATTGTTAGATTCGGCTTGTGCACAGGTGCACAGGAAAGAAATGGGGAACATTTCGGGTAACTTGAAACATCCCGTTTGCTAAGCTAACTTGAACTCATAGGCGACACAGCCTTTGCTTCTCATGTCTTGCAACGTGAAACTCTCTTCGAGCGACTCTGGGCCATAAGTTCTGACATGTTCTGGCTGTACACGAAAGTAGATGCACAGGAAGAGGGCGTGCCACGGCATGAGATTATGGCGACAAACTGCTGTCGGGGTGCCGTTGCCCAACGATTCCTCTACTGACGTATGGAGAACCTTCGGACCTTCGGAGATGCCGGCGTGCAAATTCCACTGTAAGTTCTAACTCGACCTTAGAAATCCGAATTGCTGGAGCGGATCTTGCATGCATTTGCAACATTTAATGTAATCGAGTCATGGTTTCCGGCAAATCCTACGGCGAATAATATCTTGCAGGTACACATCGGTGGCCAACCGACGATTACCCTCTTTTCATAGCTTCGTTGCATCAAGCAGACATGGTGGGCCGGGTCCCTGCGAAAATCTTGGCAAAGCAATTGGGTTGCATGAAACATCCTGGTGGAATTGCTGGCAGGACTTTACGCGAACATCTCGACATCCGGTCAGATGAACCTCATGCCCCGGATGCCTTCAGCGCTTGCGCCTTCTTCTGGTACAGCTCCTGCTCAGGGTCAACAGCACGAAGTACCTACCTCTGAATTTCTAGGCCCTAGTGGCTCTAGTAGAAGTATACTTTAGTCCTCAAGGCTGGTCAATTAGGTAATCGATCGCAGTTGCGGATCGGCAGCTTGCCCGCATGTACTACCTGACGCCGTCCCTAGCTACACTCCAGGGCCAGCACAACGCTTAATCTGCAATCTTGTGTGAGGTCTCGAGTTGTGCCAGCGCGAATTCCCAAACTCCTGCAACTACCGCAGCCGCCTCGCGCCTCTTCCAAACGCACCGAGAAGGCGGCAAAGGACTGCTGCGCGATCCCGCCACAGTGCTCCACCTGGATGTAGAAATTGGCCTCGGTTCCACTCAAGTCACGGGCGCCTTGGCTTGTGGCTACTGAGCTCCTGGCATCAAACCACCGAGGGCCTGGGAGCAAACAGCACGGATCGGCTTTGCGGGAGAACCATCTTGACAAACGATGGCAGGCCGCAACAGCAAGCTCTGTAAGCCCTGCACCTTACGAAACGACCGTTACGAAACAATCTAGCCAGAACCATGAAATGCATCAAGAGAAGCTGTTGGTCTTCCCTGGACATCAGTCACACCGCGGCTTCAACGCGGCCTGAGCGGTCCCCAACTTTCAATCCTGAGCCAACGACTGCCGTCCCCGAAGGAAAGGCTCTCCGACTGCTGGTATGCCCTGCGAGCTTGCTGGTTGCGTAATGACAACTTTAATGTAGAGGCCTTGCAAAGAAAATCCCGCAGGTGCATTGGAAGGAATTTCATGATGAATGGGGGTAGGCACATGAACGAATGAACGAACGTATGGGTGTAGCATATGTGAGATGAACAGGCGACGAACAAAGTTTGAACAAAGTGTGTATGCATGCATGTCAGTCACGTTGCCGCGCGTTTGTATGCAAGCATGCGTGCACTGCTGCGAAGGGGCTGGAAGTGAGTTGGTCACGTCTGACATGTTTGCTCGTGTGCAGTCTGGTGCGGGGTCTGCCATGCATGATCTGCAGTACGGCACTGTACGGCCTAACAAATGATTTGACGTGACACATGACCGTTTCTTGCCCAATGTTTCAGGAAGGCCCAGGATCATTATTGGGATGGGCGTTTCGGGATGCATCTCAACAATGCCCAAGATAAACAGTTTCAGGGCACTTGACGCGGGGCAGACTTTAACCCCTCTATTTGGAGCACGCGGGTGTACTCGCCGAGTCCTCAGCCTCCTTGCAAGGAGAATCTCGATCCCTTCCAGAGTATCCCGCAGAGAGCCCCCAGCCCTGGCCCCCACAAAGTACCTGGAGTGATCTCAGATGTTTAGACTCAGGTGACTTTCGAAGGCAAACCCCGAGTACATACCAAACCCCGAACCCGCCTAAACCTTTTTGCGAATCCCCATTCAAAAACCCAAACTCATAAGCCACCTGACGTTCTCGAACTCAAGGTTCCACTCTCGCAGCACAAAGCCCTGACGATCTGCAGGAGCATACGAGCCAAGGACCGTCCTCCTCCGTGCCGCAGACTCGTTGCCTCTTGTTCGGACATTGTGCAGCCAGTGAAAGCCTACTTCGAAAGCTGATTCATCTTAGAGCCCGAGCGAGATGAGTCCTAAACCCTCCGGCGTGAACAGCAGAGAACCATCCAAATTCATAGACACCTACTCCAGGTGGCAATCATATCAATCATTCATCTTTTGGCACATTCTTGCCTTTGCCTGTGTCCTGGGCGATTGTGATAACTAAGCCTAGGTCATGGGGGCTGAAAAAGCTGAAGCACCCTCGACATGAAAATGAGGACTGTCAACATGAAACAACGTTACAAGGTGTTTTCCAATGATATTAAATTGCCCTGCAGAGTAACGCGTGCGGGACCCTACTATACCCTGCTAGTCCCGAGCCCAACGCCTCTCCCGCCGGACTTGCTCGGGCTTCTCGACGCATCTTGGCACGACACCAAGAACAAGTCACGTGTTGACATAACGGATGTGAAGGAGCTCTTCTGGTTTGGCACAAGGCCTTCAAAGCAGCGAGACTGCATGGTGCTGACAGCGTCAGCATTTTCGTGGTGAAGGCTCAAGGTCCTCCACTGTGAACTAAGCCTGCTGCTGGCCGGCATAGGGGAGGCGGCGTCCACCTCAATCACATGACCTTCAAACTCCTGGCTCCAAGTCACAAGCTGCAATTACAAAGAGAGATACAGGTTCACCTCGCTGGAAAGCTCGCTAGCACCTGGGCAAATCCTCGATTAGAATGGAACCTGAAGCCCGCCCTGCAGATGTCGGATTCTGCGTTAGTTCGCAAGAAGTGCGGCCTCCCTGCCAACAGGCTCTATGGCCGAACTTCGGGTTGTGGGTTAGGATGGTTGTCAGGGTGAAACGTGCTGCTTGAGCCAGAGCACCATTGCAGCACAACATTTTCCTCAACATCTCTCAACCGTCTCGGCGTGGAGTTGGTGGGTCAGCTACTAAAGCAGTGGAGCCCAGATTGAATCGAGACGAACGACACGGCTAAGAGATAACAACTCAATCAAAGCGGCGAAGATGGACGGAAACTTCGCTTGCAAACCCAAGGGCTGAAAACCCAAAAAAAAATCAGGCTGAAAGATGCGGCTGTGGGGTGTGAGGGTTCAGGCGCAGGCCCTAAATGCAAGCGTCTTTTGGCCAACAATCCGCGTCGGCGAAGCTGCCGCGAAGGCTTGCAGGGGTTTACTGTGAGAAACAGAACTTTTGAATGAGAACCTGCACCCACAGTCCAATATCGGACCCTAACTAAACAACACGGACGTTGCTGGCCACAAGCGGGGGCCGGCAAGAAACAGCTGCCGGAGTTTGTCGGGTGAATTCTGGCCGGGCCGCAGATCTTCTCACGCGGGCCTTTCTTTTTTTTTTTTTTGGGGGGGGGGGGTTCACTGGTACGCTTCAGGCCTCGGCGCTTTCAGCATGGTTTTCAGGGTTTCAACGTTCCAGGCCCGGGGCCACTTGGATGGTTGTGGAGAAACTCATTTGCAGGAGGGCTCTTTAACAATTCAGTTCTCTTCAGTTGGCCATGTACAGGTGTTTCCAGACACACCGAGGCAAGGCATACAGAACCTTGGAGGAGGAGTTTCGCTTCTGATTCAGCAGTTCTCTCCACCGCCATCCGCTCTGCAGATCTACCATTGAATCCTGTCTCATCCTGTCTCCTGTCCAGGTTCGAAATCAAGGGGGCTGATAAGTCGCCACAAAGGTTCGATGCTGTTTCGGGACCTCGGCCCCCTTCCTAAGGAATCTTGAACCCTGCTTTGGGACAGAAAAGTGCGGATGCTGGCCAAAAAGAGGGCCTCACTCAACGTCTGGCGCTGCCATGTGGTGCCTTAGCCTCAGGGGGAAACCGGGAAGGTGCCAATGCCGACTTGCGCCGACAAGTAGTCACCAAGGAGTCTCTGTACAAAATTTCGCTGAGGTGCTCCAACACTGGCAACAGTATCATGATTGCGCTTCCGCGAACGGAAGCCTGAAAACGACATGCCCCATAACCTCGATCGGCAATTGCCCTGAACTTGTCTCAGCATAAGAATCTGCTAAACATACGGGCCACTTGACCTGTTCTCATACCTGTTCTCTATCTGCTTCCCGAAGATTGTGGCCGCAGCCTGCTGCCAAGCACGGCCCACTGCTGCGATCCTTGGCCGGCGGCGTTAAGTCGTCACGAGAAACCAAAAACATAGCAGTGAATCTGCGAGTTCTCTCACTGTGTGGCTGTTGCAATCTGTTAGAAAACACATGGCCGTTTTCATGCTTTTTGCGATGTTTTTTTGGAATTCCAATTGGGCTTCGAAACGGAACAGCCAGCCCAGGACTCTACAGCCCATCCCTCAAAAGGATTTAAATGGCTCGAGTCGCCACTTGGGCTTCAAACACCAAAAAAGGGTTGCCTTGGGGAAAACTAACTGCTCAAACTCTTGGATCCGGAGTACTAGTACGGCTGCCCCAAGACAAGCCTTTCCAAAAATCCGGAGACCCCATCTTCCACAGGCCAGGCAGCAGAAAGGCCGTGACTCGGGGCTACCGGGCAAGGACCTCTGGAAAAAGCCTAAACTCCCGAACTCCAAACTACTCTAGCGGATTCATTTGAAGGAGCACAAAAGCATGTCTAGAGGAGAAGCAGGAGATCAGGACAGTTTACGGGATCATGTGTTGGAGCTTTCTTCAGCATTGAACACGAACATCAACTGCAAGCTCTTCAATCTCCTTACTCTTCGCACAGGCGCAGCGTGGGCTGAGATTTTATTCCGGCCTCTTCTGATCTGGGTTGGCCCAGGCCAGCGCGCCTGACCGAGACGGCGCGGGAATCAGTTGAGAGCCTAGAGCCGAACAGAATCACAAGCTGAGCCTGTACTTTTCCGATCCCCGCATTGAGGCTGCTTGGCACCTCGGGCAGTATCAGAGTACTTCTTCGGCGGCCCAAAACCGCGTTACTGTCACGTGTCATGAGGAGCGTGGATGTTGGCCCGCGTGGATGTTGGCCCAACATCCACTCCTCAAGCGTGGATGTTGGCCCAACATCCACCCCTCAAGCGTGGATGTTGGCCCAACATTCGCCCCTCAAGCGTGGATGTTGGCATCCACCCCTCAAGCGTGGACGCTGGCCCAACATCCACCCCTCAAGCGTGCTCAAGTGTGGATGTTGGCCCAACATGCACCCCTCAAGCGTGCATGTTGCCCAACATCCACTCCCAAGCGTGGGTATTGGCGCAATATCCACCAACATCCACCCCTCAAGCATGGGTATTGGCGCAACATCCACGCACATCCACCCCTCAAGCGTGGATGTTGGCCCAACATCCGCCTTTCAAGCGTGGATGTTGGCCCAACATCCGCCTTTCAAGCGTGGAGGTTGGCCCAACATCCACCCCTCAAGAGTGGATGTTGGTCGGCGATGTTGAAGTCTCGGGCTTCTTTCTTGCGGGGTAAAGCCAATTCTTGCTGTAGTCTGTGAACATGCCATGCCACTCTTCATTGTTTGGGGTCTTCGATGGGGCAATTTTTCTGAGGAGAGGACCCCAAACGGCTCCTGTTTGGGGAAAACTTCGAAGGGTCACACGTTTGACATGGTCGGGTAGTGCAAGCTCTGATGCAGAAGAGCAGGGGCTCGTGCGCAGTCAGGGCCCTTTCAGGGCTCTTCATCAGGCGCCTTCTTTTGCAACGCTTGGGATCAGTTTTTTGTCGGTTCAGTGATGGAAGCAGTGATGATTTCGAGCATCTAGAACACGACGTGTTCGCAAGATGTAAGGTAGCACAACAGGACGACAAAACCCGCTTATTTGGCAACTAATGGCAACACTGTCGAGGCAAAGCCTCAAGGACCAAGGTTCAGGCCAGATTCGGTGGCACGACCCCGCTGCGGGCGATCCTGGCTTTGGGAACGATGAAGTCGTTTAAGTCTTTCAACCTCTGAATTTTACACATTTCGACACATACTGACCCATTGGAAAGCCTGACATGCTGCAAAAGCGGATTCTGCATTCTTCTGTGTACAGAAGAACCAGGACGAAGCGAAGCTGAATTGCAGATGCTTCTTTATCTTGGCCGAGTGCTTCTTTCGGAAGGGCTTGCTATGTCTCGCTGCATCGCTGAGGCCACTGCGCTGTTGGAGACTGGCATCGGTGCAGTGTCACGGCAGAGGCGCCTTGGCAAGGTACTGGCAGACCCACTGACTTCCTTACTGCTGAACACAGGTTGAGTGCCAGAGCTGATGCTCATTGCAGAAAGTTCTCCGTTGACAGGTTGGGCATCTTCCCACATTGTTCAGTGGTTAAAAAGCACACAACAAGACACAGCACGTATGACAGTGAGAATCTGCCCCTCGTTGACCTCCGCAAAGGTACGCCTCATGTACCATGAGGCCCCGGCTCAGCAAGCTGCGGCCCTGACATGGCGCAGGGTCACCCAGAGGAAAGCACTAAACTCCACTAAACTCCGCTAAGCCCTGGAGACCTAGCCAGGAGGTACGCCGGCAGATGTTCAGAGAGGGGCCCGTTGACGACTCGGACAACAGCCAGGAAGTGTGAGTTCGATGACACGTGTTCCGAAGGAGAACTCCACCTAAGCCCCAAAACTCTCCAAAGAGAAAGCCCTTTGAGAGAAGGCGCCCCTCTACAGAATCCTACAGGCCTCCATTCTTGGCGAGATCGCGGAGAGCGTCGCGCGGCTCACGGCCGTTTGTGGGAGGGCGGCTGGTGCCAAGAGGCTCCGGGTGGCCCCGGCCTGGGGAGCCCCGGCAGATGCCCGGGCGACCCCCACAAAGCCTTGGAGTGTGAACTGACTGGAGAATTTCGTCGAACTTTGTTCGTGCTTAGACGGGAACATGGCTGTCTCTTCTGCACAGACAATGCTCAAGCACCCGTTCCACATCTCTCATACCGTTTCATACCGCCTCATGCAGTACGCCCCTCACGACTCTGAAGCGTCCCGAGCCCCACCAAGCCTCCCACGAATCCCCCGAAGCCCGACCCGCTGCCAGGCAAGCTTCGGTTCCCAGCCAGCACTTGTGGGGCTGTGGAGACGACAGTGCCTCGCTTTTGACAGCCCCTTCCAAGATCAGAAGTTTGCGAAAAGAGGCTTCATCGGACACCCCCATGCCCTAGAAGCCATGTACTCGTGACGTGCCATCGCGACTCAACATCCCCGCTGCTGCTGTCATGATGCAAGAACCATCGCTACAGTTCAGCCTTGAAGGCTCAAGTTCCACAATGTTCCACATGGGCTCCCGCAATCCACCAGCTTCGCAAGTCTTTGCCAGGAAGCCAGAAACATCTTTTGACTTTCTTGCTGCCAGGCGACGGCTCAGGTGGACCTTCGGGGCCTCTGTGGGCTGGACTGGCTGGACTGGCTGGACCCGTTGGGGCACGGCAGGCACCGCATTCGCTGGGACGAATGGGCCCTTCTCCTTTGTGTCACTCGGCAGAAAGAAGCGAAAAAGGCGTGCTCGGACAGTGGGCGAGTTTAATTTTGTTCTAAAGCCGAAAACTGGCACAGCAAAACGCATCTTCCAATGATGACCGGGTCTCGACTTTCGCAGGCTTTGCCTCCTCACTAGGCTTTGCCCTTGACTCTGGGAGCTCGTCCAAGTAGCCAA